CCCTCCATCTCCTCCCCAGAAGCCGAAGCCACAGCCCCCAAACTGTCTCCCTCCCCTATTCACCCCCTACCCCTCTCATCATCGTCCTCAGCCCCTCCTCTCGCTAGACAAGCCAGTCCGCCACGGCCCCCGTCCAAGGCTCGCATCGCCCATCTCGCATACCTAGAGAAGGTCGAGCGCGAAGCCAAGGAACGCGGCGGCAGTGGCGCAAAGCTTAATTTCTCGGAGTTTGCGCAGCGCATGGCGATGGATCGGGGTCGCGCGTTGGCGTTTGTGGCGAGCTGGATTGAGATGGCTAGTTTTTAGTTGTTGGTTTTGTCAGTGAGAGTATTAACTGGTGAGATTGTATATTAGGTTTATTATGTGTGTGCATTGTATGTGTGCATGGATGGTATGGGAATAGTAAATTTCATGAATTGGTCTAATCATACCTACTCTTTTATCTATCTACTATCTTTTTTCGCATGATGGTTGCGATACAATGGAACAACGGTACCCGTAATGTTCAAAGAGGCATATAACCGATATAACCCATTTGATGCATATATCTATTACACACAAAACACCCTATAGAAACAACGAAGTAAAGCAAGCACGCAACCTAATCCCAATATTTAATCAACCCATCCAACCCACCCGTAACAACCTTGCTAGTTTCCTGGGGATGCCAATCCAGACAAGTAGTCGCGCCACCTTCCTTCCCACCAGCCAGGATCTTATGGTACATTTTTCCTGTTTTCCAATCCCAGAAGCAGACATAGCCGCCACTATCACCGGAAGCAATGAACTGTCCATCTGGGGAGATCTTGATATCAATGGCGTAGCCGGCATTGTTGTGGCCACGGAAACTCTTCTTCCGGTTCTGGCGGAATTTGTCCGTGGCGCCGTACACGACGATCTGGTTATCGCCGGATTGGAAGGCGACGTATTTGCCGTTGGGGTGGGGGGTGGCGCGGGTGAGGGCGAACATGTATGGTTCGGCGATGAATTTGATAGGTACGGGGATGCCGTATTCCCAGGCGCGGAGGGATTTGTCGTCGGAGGTGGAGATGAAGCGGCGGTTGTCGTCGACAAAGGTGATGGTGTTGATGGCTGCCAAGTGGTGGTCGTATTCTTGGACCAGTTCGCCGGAGCGGGTGTCGAATTGCACGATCTTCTTGTCGGACATACCGGCCAGGAACTCGTGCGAGTGTTCGGCGCCGGGGTTGAAGCGGATGACATGGGGGGTCTTGCCTGTGCTGAAACGTCCGAGACATTTGCCGTATTCGGTGTCCCAGAGCTTGATTTGGCGGTCGTAGGAGGCTGTGAGGAAGGTGGTGCCGCTGGGGTGGAAGTCGGTGTCCGTGATGGCCTTGGAGTGGCCGGAGAAGGTGCGCAGCAGTTCGCGTGAGTGGTAGGCGTCCCAAATCTTGGCTTTGCCGTCGGCGGCGGAGGAGAGGAGGAGGTGGCCGGAGCGGGGGAAGAAGCGGAGCGAGGTGATGGCTTTGGTGTGCGATTTCCAGGTATGGATGAGTTTCTTGGGGATGAAGTTCTTGGCGCTGCCGGGGTCTTTGCGGAGGTCGATGTCCAGATCTTGAGGAACGTGCATGTACGTGCGGCCCAGGTAGTCGAACTGCTCTGTGCCGTGGAATTCGGTGGATTCGACCTTGGTCGTGTCGTCTTGGTAGTCGGTGGCTTCTTTGCTCATGGCAGGCATGGCCGATGGTGCCAGGTCTTCCTCTTCATCGACCTCAACGTATTCCTCATCGCTAGCAAGTTCGCGGTCCTCTTCGGCGGCCTCCTCTTCGTAAACCTCCTCGCGTTGGTATTTCGCCCATGGGCCGAGGTAGGCACCTTCACCTTCCACGATGCTGGGGTCGCCCTTCTTCTGCCGTTTCGCGCGCAGCGCTGCAGATGCCTCCTTGGAGGGTTTCATCTGGATGACATCGCGGCCACCGAATTGAGCTGCGTTATCAAGATTGCCGACAAATTGACCCGGGAGACCAGGGTTGCGCGTGTAGCCTAGACTCTGGAAGGTGCGGTGTTGCGCGGCGAAGGTCGCCTCACTGATGGCTGCTTCTTCGGCGAAACCGGTCGGGACATTCTTGCGCTTGAGACCATTCGCTGGTCCGGCAGGTTTGAAGGGGTTGGCGGGGCCTTGAGACGGCCGCGAGAGATCATCGTAGGTAGCGTTGTAGGTCAACGCGGTGGATGAGGTGTTAGCGAGCATCATCTGCATATGCGCTTGGTCCTGTAGGTTTGTTAGATACACCAGACATACCAAATTAGAGATAATAGGGGATCAATGCTCAGCAGCTAATTCAAAAGAAACTGGGGGACCAAACCTCTGTGTTCACTTCAGGCGCCGCGACGATCGTAGTCGCTGAGGGCACCGTAGGTTGGACTTGCGTGGGCTTGGCCGAGTCATCATCGCTAGACTCGTAGCCTGCGCCGAGTAATGATGCCATGATTGCTGCGATGGCTATAATTCAGGGAAGTGAGAGCAGACAGAACTTCCCCGATGCGGCGAGAAATGAAGTCGAAGCAAGCTTGGTTTCTTCGATCGGCAGAAGTTCCACGCCCGACTTTTACGGAAGGCGGAAGCACCGCCCGCGCAGGAATCGCGGCGGACAACAATTCTACTATTACGTTCTAGATAGCTGTTCTTCTACAGGGAATCAGGACATCGTACGCGCTTCATTGTCACACCGCTGAGGTATATACAGCACCATTATTGAAGACATTAACAGGAAAATAGCAACATCAGAAACCCAAGGAAAGTACACTAAGCAAACAAAAACAACTCAAGCAGCCTCACCGGCGTGCTGCTCCCAGGCGACCGGATTACCTCATCTATCGCCTATCTTCTCTTCCGCAAACCTAAAAAAACATCAAGATCTTGAGACCCCACGCATTCGCTGTCATCAATGATATGCTTTCATAGTCACGTCATATACAAGGTCTCTTCTGCTGCACGCGCCGGCACACCGACGGCAGTGTCAAGCAGCCGGGACGAGAGGCGCAAGTTGCGTCGGGATACAGCAGCGAGACAGATACTCGCAGAACCATGCTCCGTCCAATCTTCTCTAGCCAAAGGAGAAGTCAAGACATTCGCACTACATGACACTTCAGCCCGAGCGGCCGTTGCGCAGTGCGTGTTCCGTCTTGCCACGAAGTCAGTGAGACTCGTCGCGGATCAAGGCGACGATCATGCTGTAGAGGTAGAAGAAGAACATCAGGAGGTGGAAGCCCAGCTTGATGAAAGATTCCTGCAGTTTGCGTCAGCGGTCGGTCCGCCCTGGTAGCGGGATTGGGACAGTGCAGTCTAACCTTCTTGTGGACGTTCAGCTTGCGGAAGATCTCGGTCGCATCCAGGAGGTGCTGGTTCTCGTAGATCCTGCAGAAAGGACGGTTGTGTTAGTTGGGCTGCAGCATGGCGGAGCTGGAAAAGACAGCATTACTTCTTAGCATTGAACGCCAACAGAGGCAGGTTCAGGACGATGGCGACCCAGTAGCCATTGATGATGAACAGGAAGGTCAAGAAAGCGTGAACGGCGGCTTCGGGAACAATGTAGGCGTTGAGGCGGTTGCACAGATCAATGGGGTTGATGTAGTCACTGCGGGAGCGAACCGGGTTCGTTAGCTGGTTGGGTTCCATCACGCTGTCGCAATCCATGGCGAGCTCCCATGCGGCTCACAAGAGCTCGTCCACGCACACGACAGAAATCGGCGAGACAAGAGGGAGGATAGAGCCAGATCATACCATTCCAGATCGCTGTACATGATAGTAAAGAAGACCTGCAGGAACAGGTTGACGGCGTTAATCAACACCGCCAGCAGATAGAGCCAGGCTTCACCGGACATGGTGGGCAGAGTGGAAAAGAGATGCTCGAAAGACTCGAAAAGGGTGCTAACAAGCAGGCAAGAAGGAGGGGAGGAGCGGAGAGGTGGCCGTGCTCAGGGGCAGGGAAGCACCACTGGAGGAAGCAGAGGCGAAGGGGTGAAAGGTGAGAACTGAAGACGAAGGAAGTTGGACTTGAGTGTGGATTCGAACCGATGGGGGAAAGCCGCGATTGGAGCTGGCAGGCGGTGAGGCTCTTCCGGGGGAGAGACCCGCGATCAGCTGTCAAGTTCGTGGAGTTGGATACTGACGACTCTACATCAATTTCGACCCATTATTACGATCTACTACTATCTATGCAACACTGAAAAGCAGGGCGATATTCCCAGTGGTCACAAGAAAAGCAATTATGACAATGACCGTGGACTTGCCCGCCAGTTGATGCTCGCCCGCTATCGGATACTAGTAATCGCGGCATCGGCCACTACTGCCAATCACCACCACTGCAGTATCGATTACGAAAACTTGCTGGAGAGCTGAGCAAGGGTGAGATATCATTTAAGGTGAAGCCATATCAGAATATGAACCCTCACCTACCCAACAAAATCTATGTAAAATGGCGGTATGGGCACAGCGTAGCATAGCATCTCTGCCATCGCAGATACATGTCGATGACGTGGGGAAACACGTGCTTCCATCCGCATCTGGCGGCTTCTACTGGCCAGCCCGCAAGTCCGCATTATAGCATCACCATCAACAAGTAGTGTATTAAAATCACCATCAATAATTGATCTCTATTTACATAGGTATAACCCGTCATTAGCTAGCTAACGTTGCAATGAAGATCTGTGGCAAGAGCAGGACTCAAAAGCAGGAACAGAAAACGTCGTATCAGAATGCTCATCATGGAGTCAATACCAGTACACAAAAAACAACCATAGCCCGTGGGCTGCGTAATAAAACAAGATCAAGTGTGTCAGCAAAGATGGTTGCCAGCACCTTTATGAAACTATCACCGCTTCTCAACCAGCAGAATATGCATCGCGCTATATGCGATTACGATGAATGCACCCGAGATGACGGCCAGTCCGATGACATCAGTCCATAGAGCTTGGGTATCAAATCCAAAAGCGCTCAGAATGGACGCGCCGGGAACTTCAATGTCCAGGCCGTATTTGTGATCAATCAGGGTCAGATACGTTACTTCATTGACGATCAGAGCCTCGAAGCCGTAGTGGAATATGGAAAGCTATAAGACAGTCAGCAACTGGTCCTTACAAGAACCATGAATGAAGTGAAAACAGATTCGTTGGTACTCACAGTTTGCAGCCACAAGGCAGACTTGGGAATGGCATCGTGGTTGAGCAGGAGACCAGCGAAGAGCAGACTGAACAGCATCACCAGGCTCCCAATCAAGTTGGCCACGCCTCCATCCCGGAAGATGATACCGATGAACAAGCAAATATTGGCGGCCGCGAGGTTGAAGAGAACAAGTACCAAGATGAAACGGAAGAATTCACCCCAAGCCGGAATCAAGCCAGTCATGGGATACACAATGATACCCATGATGATAGGGGGGAGGAGCCGGAGGGGCACGATGTCAAACACCACCTTGGCCGCAAAATAGGTAATCGGGTGGTAGTAGCCATTCGCTCTCTCGCGTACAAACAACAGTCGCTCCCCGGAAAACACCGTTAGACTGGTAAGCGTGCTGAACCCGAACAATGCGAGGATGAAGAAAAACAGACCCAACCGGTTCTGGAAGCCCTTGATGTCGTCGGTCAAGCCGTAGAAGAGGTAACCGCACAGAACAGCGAGGAGGATAGAAATTGCATAATGCGTGAGCATCAACATAGGATTCCGATACAGGTTACGCCAGGTCCGTTGTGACAGGATAAGGAACTGTCGCAAGAGGCCAATGCGAGCGTATGTCTTGCCGGTTCCAGTAGGAGCAGACATCAGCTCGGGGTTGGTATACCCGTTCGCTGCGCGTGTATGCTGTATGGCCGCCATGATTTCATCATGGACGGAGCGTGCGATGTCCGATGCTGCATAGTTTGCAACCAAGATGTCGAGGTCTGTCTGTCCCGGGGCCGCTGGGGGTAGCTGATCTGGGTCATCCATGATTTGGGATGGAGTGGTGCCTGTTTGACGAGAAAGACGCAGCCATTGCTGATTGTCCTCGGCGGCATCATCCAATAGCTCGTCTTCTTCATCGGTTTTCGGGGTAGGGGGAGCTTCTGGATCCTTCTTGCGCGAGTAGAGCTGTCTGTCCTGTTTCTGTTTAAGGGAGACGCGCCGTTTACTCTTCGGTCGCCGGTTCGCATCAAAAGTACTGCTGCTATCCTCAAAGCTAGCATTGGATGCACTAGCCACAGATTTGACGGCTCTCAGGCTGCTCGACGCCGTCTTAGGGGGGTCTACCCGAACATCCAGTAAGGGAGACTCGACCGCGTCGCTGTGAGAGCGGGTCACACTAGCGTGCATCGTGAGGTCGACAAGATAGTCCGCAATGTTGAAGCCTGGTGGGCAAGAGTAACCTGATTGATCGAAGTATCTTTGGCACGTGGAGAACGGTCCAGAATAGACGGTTTTTCCTTTAGCTAGGAGAATCAATCGGTCAAACAAAGCAACAATGTTGGAGCGCGGTTGGTGAATAGTGAAGATGACAGTGCGATTATACGTTTTGGCCAATGTCACCAAGCACTCAATCACATTGAATGCGTTATATGCGTCCTATGCAGCTAGTTAGAGAAGTACAGTGTTAATGGGGCTGACGCATCTTACCAATCCACTTGTAGGTTCATCCAAGAAGAGAATACTCGGGCTGGTAACCAACTCGCATGCGATGCCAACTCGGCGCTTCTCACCACCCGAGATGCCCCGACCTCTGCCTTCCTCAGATCCGATCAATTGGTCCTTTATATGGGATATCCCAAGTTGCCTTTCAACTTCAAACACTCGCTGTTCCTTCGCAGCCCTGCTCATGTCTCGCGGCAACCGGAGCAACGCACTTGTCAAGATAGTCTCGTGCACAGTCAAGGTGGGAAGCATAGTATCTTCCTGATCGACAAAACCAATCATACTCTTAAAGTCATGGTCACTGATCTTCTCCCCATTAACATAGAAATCGCCACGGACAGTACCCCGCTTGTTCTTCCGAGCAAGGATGTCAAGGAAGGTCGTCTTTCCTGCACCCGAGGCGCCCATGATAGCGGTAATCTGACCAGGCTGAGAAGAACCTTGAATACCACTGAGAATCTCCTTTCCATTCAAGAAGTACGAGACACCGTCCCAATACAAGGCCGCTGGCTTGTGTTCTGCCAGGAGCTTGGCCGCTTCGTCGTCCTCGTCATCCGAAAGAGGCAACTGGATGCGACCGAAATACGACCTGCGTGAAAGATACCACACAGACAGAATGACAGCAACGACGAAGAGGGCACATCCCGCGATGACGCCTGCGATAAGAGGGGTATTGATCTGTTTGACCGGGCGTGTGTAGCCAGGAACATCAGTCCGATACAGACACTCGCCGGCATTGCAATTCAAAGTGATACTCTTGTCGCCGAAAACAGCTTTGATCAACTCGTCCATAGCTGGCTCCTGGAATGTGCTACCATCTTCCGGGCTGCCACCCTCAGTGGAGACCGAGGTGAACGTGGCAGGTCCCACGATTGACTCCCTGAGAAAGTCACCGATATCGATGGATCCTTCCTCGCCACAAAGCATGCGCCCTGGAATACACTCGCAGTTGATGCTTTCGCACGTGTAGTGGGTTCTGTTCTGACTATGGGTAGTCTCCAAACCCCACTGACACTTATTCAAACCACAATAGAACGACTCTACTCGCCCCACCCAGAATTGAAAGTTGCAAGTATGGTCTTCGGCCTCGCAAGAAAACGTCACCTGAGGCTTGCGCTCCTTCAGCTGATCAAGGATCTTGCGATTGGTCACATCACACATCTGAAAGTTCTCTTTGACAGTAACACCCTGTTTGTAGCAAACACCCCCTTCACCTTCTGGCATCATCGCATTACATGCATCGTCCGTTTGGCACACGTTACAGTTGATTCCTTCCCAGCCATCTTCGCACGCGCACTGGTCGCCCTGTCGGGGGGACCTCTGGTGACCGTCGGCTAGCGACCCACACAGAGGCTGCGCGCAATCATCGCCACCAAACCCTGGTGGGCAGACACATTTCCCGGTGAACTTATCGCAGTCGGCAAACTGGGCGCACTGGAACGCGTCTAGTTGGCAGTTGAAGCACGGTGGGCAACCGTCTGGACGATCGTCGAGTGCGGAGAAGAGCGGAGATATGAGGGAGGCCTCGGAGTAATTGCTCCGTGCTGCGACCGTAGAGACCGGTAGTGAGAGGGTGAGAGCGAGAGATAGCTGGAGTGACGATGGCAGCCGCATGCTGGCTCAAAAGTGCGAGAGCTGCCCTCGCACTCGATTCAGTCGAAGGTACCTGGCAAGCTGGTGGGCGTTCGGACCGAGAGACCGGGTGCGGAGTAAGCAGCGACGACGATGAACGCCAGAGAATCACAATAAAGGATAGGACATCTGGTTACAAGCTAAAGGACTGTAAGGCTTCCCTGGCAGATTCAGGAAAACACAATACCACCAGCGTGATTGCACCGACAGAAACCACAATCAAAGAGCCACGAAAGGAGCGGTAAAGATGGGTGGGAAGAGGAGAGGCTGGATGGGAAACCGGTTGAGGCGATGACGAGGGCGGAGAAGCGCCAACCCGTGGCCTGACAGCCTGGGGCACCCAACCAATGATGGCCCGGCGCGATGTGGTATTATCGGGTACCTACCGCGACCTACGTTGCTTCAAAGGAACTACGGCATATATTGATATACTGTGGATCATCTTGTCACCTACAGGGCGCGGTGGATATCATTAAGATGGCCTCAAATATTCCGATGATCATTGTATACAGCAAAGGTCGTAAATTAACCGCCCATTCGCTGGATCTGCCTGGCTTCATCCACTTCTCCTCCGGTTCACCCAATTGGGAAACCCCATATTCAAATTTCACGTGACTCGGTACCTGAATTTCACCAGATATAAAAGCATTTTGACTCATTGAGCCATCGTTGAGAAGTGACAGCGTTGTTGTTAGAAGTGACCGAGTTTCTGTACTAAAAAAGTCTTCGCAATGGTTCACATCAAAGAGTTCGCCGTGGAACAAGTATGACGACCCCTCTCCCAACCGGACAACCCCGCATACTTGGACCAGATCAAGCTAACCGTGTTACAAGTGGATGGACAATTATGAAACCACAGCCAAATACAATGTGGCAGAGACATGCTGTGCGTCAATCTCATTTAATGATCTCCGGGAGCTGTCGGAGGACAAGTCCGACCCGTTGGACTTGAGCATTAAGCTCACTTACGGAGCTATTCGTGGGTCGGAACGACTCCGGGGAAACCTGGCAAGGCTGTACTCAGATCAAACACCTTTGCCATTGGACAATGTCTTGATCACTGCTGGCGCCATTCAAGCCAATTTTCTCCTGCTTTATACTCTGGTTGGGCCCGGCGACCATGTTATCTGCCATTACCCCACATACCAGCAGCTCTACTCAGTCCCCGAGTCGCTCGGGGCCGAAGTGAGTCTGTGGAAGGCGAACGAGGCAGACAACTGGAGGCTGGATCTCAATGAATTGAAGAGACTTATCCGTCCAAATACCAAACTGATTATCCTCAAGTTAGTAAACCCCTCAAATCCCACTGACCAGCTTCTCTGATCAAGATCTTTTCGCCTTACAGTAACCCCCAAAATCCGACCGGAGCGGTGATACCCCAGGAGACATTGAAGGATATTGTTGAAATAGCTCGAAGCTCATCCATCATTGTCCATGCTGATGAGGTTTACCGACCGCTATACCATTCTGTCGGGGAAGACCAAGCCCCATCATCGCTCCTGTCTCTAGGGTACGAGCATACGGTAGTGACCGGCTCCATGTCTAAGGCGTATAGTTTGGCAGGACTCCGTGTTGGATGGATTGCATCTCGCAACCGCTCAATCATTGAGACCTGCGCCAGCGCCAGGGACTACACAACCATTTCCGTCGGCCAGCTGGACGATGCTATTGCGAGTTTCGCCTTAGCCCCGGCGTGTGAGCCTAATCTCATTAAGCGGAACCTTAACTTGGCCCGCCGGAACCTGGCGATTTTGGAGAAATTCATCGAGTCTCATCGGTGGGCATGTGACTGGGTTAAGCCGCAAGCAGGTACAACGGCATTCGTGCGTTTTAACAATCAAGGCATACCAGTGGACGACGTAGCCTTCTGTGAACAACTCCTTCAAAAGACCGGAGTAATGTTTGTCCCTGGACACTTATGTTTTGGGGAAGGAGATGATTATGAGGGATATGTTCGGATAGGGTATGTGTGTGAGACGGAAGTGCTGGAACAAGCTATGGAAGCGTTGCGATCGTTCATGGAAGGGGAATATAGGAATGTGCCGGTGAGGAATCGGACTTCGAGGGCTGCCAAGTAAGTTAGATAATGAATTCAATAGTCAGCCAAGCCTGCATATACATGCAGCATCGAAAGGGAGAAAGTGAAATCAATACCACAGTAACTTGGTCAACACAGCCGAGATATCTAGACTCGCCATTGCTTTTAAAATAGCGATGGATGGAATCAGCCCCAACGGAGGCTTATTTTCGGTGATTCCCACACTTCCCACGGACCCATTGGCCGGTTCACCAACCAGCCAACTTGGCGAGTCTCCACCCGATCATCTGCTTTCTTGTCGGGCCATTGAAATGATCGAATACAATAGTTCCAGGCCAGTGGAGACCGTCGCCAGCTTCATTTGATGCATAACCCGTCATAGCGCTCGTTCCCCCCAAGCCGAGGTAACTCTGTCCACCCGCTCCTCCCCACGCCAGGCCATACTTAAAGGTGAAATGAATGACAAGGATCTTGTCAGCTCGGCCTCATGGCTGTTAACCAAAGGCTCCATCGATGCCGACACGCGCTCCAACATTTTCTTTGTTCCTCTGCTAGTATTTAATACCCCGCGCGCTTCCTCATCTCCGGCTCGTCTGCTCGTCTCCTAACTCACCTTCCTTTTCCCTTCCCTTTCCGGTGACGACCAGCGGGCAGACCATATCAGTTTGCCGCTTCTTCCGAACCATCCCAACATAATCAGTCAATTTGACCTCAAAAATGTCTGCGATCCCTGGTCTGTGAGCTCCCCACCATAATTCTATATGAGGCATACTTAGAATTCTGGTACTGACTAAATGTTCTACCAGATCTCCCCATCCCTCTCCCGATCGCCGGTTCGGCGCTGGTAGCCACGCTGGCATACCTAAATGCCAAATTCTCCCTATTCCAAGACAAACATTCAATCTCGTCTATGGTCAGCATAGCTAGTAACTCCAAGTCCGCTGAGCGAACCGATCGCGTCAGTTACTTCTATGTTCTGGAGCAGCACGCCCGGGATCCCAAAACCAAGGATCGGCCGTTTATTGTCTATAATGGACAAAGCTGGACATATCACGAAACGTACGTGCTGGCGCTGCGCTATGGCACCTGGTTCAAGCAGGTTCACGGAGTCAAGCCCCGGGAAGTCGTCGCCATGGATTTCATGAACTCCTCGACGTTCGTGTTTATTTGGATGGGTCTCTGGAGTATTGGCGCTGCGCCCGCCTTTATCAATTACAATCTGACAGGGCAGCCCTTAACACATTCGGTTCGGGCCTCAAGCGCACGACTGCTACTCGTTGAGGAGGAGCTTCGCCAGAAGTTTTCGTCCGAGCAATTAGAGCTGTTTGCTTCTCCTGACTTTCGAGACGGAGGGGATCCAGTCAATGTGGTCTTCTTCACCCCGGAAGTCGAAACTCAGATCCTCGGAATGGAGCCCACGCGAGAGGATGACACAGCTCGGAGCGGCATTCAGCTGCGCGACATGGCCACGCTGATCTACACAAGTGGGACTACCGGTCTGCCCAAGCCCGCGATCCTCCCTTGGAGGAAAGTCTGGGCTGGCGCTGTAATGGTCAAAACCTGGCTGAAGATGACCAAGGATGATCGGGTGTTCACGGTACGCTTCTTTTGCTTCTTCTGTACTGTCTCTCGATAACACTGATCATTATCATAGTGTATGCCACTCTATCACTCATCCGCAGCCATCCTCGGTCTCATGCCGTGTTTATGGACAGGAGCGGCTTTGATCATCGGTCGCAAATTCTCTGCTCGGAGTTTCATGCGAGAAGCCGGGGAGAATGATGCAACTATCGTGCAATACGTGGGCGAAACTATGAGATACCTCTTAGCAGTGCCGCCCGCCATTGATCCCGTTACAGGGGAAAATCTAGACAAGAAGCATAAGATTCGCCTGGCTCTGGGCAACGGCCTGCGGCCCGACATCTGGAACCGGGTGAAGGAACGGTTCAATATCCCTACGATTGCCGAGTTCTATGCTTCTACCGAAGGCCCAGGCGGCTTGTTCAATATCTCGTCGAACGACTTTACCGCAGGTGCAATTGGCCGTAGCGGGTTTATCACCAGTAAGATCATCGGTCGTAGTGTCGCTATTGTTGAGATTGATCAAGAAACCCAACAACCCTGGCGCGACCCCAAGTCAGGTTTCTGCAAAAAGGTCCCGCGGGGCGATCCGGGTGAGCTGCTATATGCACTCAACCCGCAGGATCCTGGAGAGTCCTTTGTCGGTTATTACAAGAACAACAAAGCCACGGACGGCAAGATACTCCGCGACGTGTTTCGCAAAGGTGACGCCTACTACCGATCCGGAGATTTGATCCGATGGGACAAAGACGGTCGGTGGTACTTTTCCGACCGTCTAGGTGACACCTTCCGTTGGAAGAGTGAAAATGTCTCTACCAGCGAAGTAGCTGAGGTGCTGGGCGTGCACCCGGAAGTGCACGAAGCCAACGTCTATGGAGTGGCATTGCCGAACCATGACGGCCGTGCTGGCTGCGCCGCCCTCGTTCTTCAGCAACAGGCACGCTCCGAGGATCAGACGGTGGTCATCCCTCCATCTGAAGAGAGTCTAAACAGCCTGGCGGCGCATGTGCTGAAGAATCTTCCGCGTTTTGCTGCTCCCCTGTTTCTCCGAGTCATGGCTGAGATGCAGGCTACCGGAAATAACAAGCAGCAGAAGCATACTTTCCGGACACAAGGAGTGGATCCAGCACTGGTCCCTGCGAGTGATCGCATGTACTGGCTCCAGGGGAACCAGTATGTGCCGTTTGAGTCGAAGGATTGGGACCGACTACAAGCTGGGCAAGCCAAGCTGTGAGCTAGCCCCAGTAGTTACTGGGTCTGACTAAAAGAACCTCGATATATATAGCGCTGTATATTCTTAGTATACGAGTGTCTTCTAGATGAATTATTTGTGGTTATTGTGAATACTACATTAGTTAGTTGCCGTGGTATGTATTCATGTGCAGAACGGGAATATATTTCTGCGCATGCTACTCAGTACTACTACTACTCCGTACACAACCGCCATCCGCATCTTTTCTACCCAGGTCTTGCTACTAAATTAGTATCCAAAGAAATCCATACTAAGCAGCCTATCGCATACTCCTGTTTCTCTCAAATCTTCCCCTCCCACTTCAATCTCGTCGAAAAGAAAACTCGCGTCGAATCACCACGACGATAAACCATACTATCCCTAAATAACTAGGCTTCTCGTACCACAGGGCGTCTCTTACCACACGGTAGGCTACAGTCTACGGAATACCATGGCTTGTCACAGGACAGTTCATGCCGTAGGGCAGCTCATATCTTCAGTCAATCGATTGCTGGGATGATCCAATTCGAGCTACTTGATGCCGTTACAGTGTCTAGACCTGAGGACGGGACATAGATGAAACAGGCAAATTTCATCATTCTGAGCCATTGAGGATTGAGACAATATATGCAATGTAATACCGGAAAGTCCTACAGTGGAAGTCGTCGTGTCGTCGTAGTTGGCCAATTTCAATTGCCACTTTCTTCCACCTGATCCTTAGAACGATTTCAAAAGCCTCGCGGCCGCAATATGTCCATTTTTCTCAGCCAATTCCACAGCCCGCCGATATTGCCGTTCACCATCATTGCCTACCAGCGATGCTCCTTCGTCGAAAAATAGCCGAAGCATGTCAATTCGACCGTGCTCTGCTGCTCCCTCCAAGGCTGTTCTGCCATTGCGTCTTGCAGGAGCAGCATTAACGTCCGCGTCTAGGTCGAGGAGCTTGCGAGCGATTCCTAGGTAGCCTTGAATGGCAGCAATCTGCAATGCGGTTGCTCCACCATCCTCTGATGATGCACTGTTGACATCGGCTCCGTGGTCAAGAAGGAAGTTGATCAGGTCCATGTTTCCGTTGTTCACCGCATGTTGTAGCGCCGTGCGTCGACCCGCGCCATTCCCAAGGTAGTCAATATTGGTTTGCGGGCTTTTGACTAACCATTGGACTATGGACACCAGCTGGTTCTTAACCGCAGCCTGTAGAGGAGTGAGAATTTCACACCATCCTGGTATTCACTCATCATATTCATTCACCGTGTCGGGGTAGTAGATCTTGATCTTTTGATTCATGTCCACCACCTGCTCCAGGATGCCATCTATTAGCAAGTGTGATGAAAGATAACTGCGATTGTCAATGCATGGCCGGTAATTCGTTTGTTCCAGACACAAGATTGGAGAAGAACTTGAAGAGTCGATTGTCATCCTGTTGTGCCGCTATTTTAAGCACTGATTGCGGGTCCTCAGGCTTAAAGGCGAGGTCATCGTCCCGGTACCATCCGTCATCGAACGATTGCGGTGTTCCTGTTGTTTCGGTACCTGCTTCGAATATGAGTCTTATGGCAAATAGCAACCATGGAAGGGACTGGTTCCAGATGAGCCGCATACCCGGCAGTAGGAGTGCAGACAACAATCCCTTCTAGGATGTTGGGAGAAGGAGCTAAGATCTTCTCAGTTGCCTGGGATCCATGTAAGTAGGAAGATATGGAAACACGCTGAGCGGACCACCTGAAAGGTCATCCACCGTTGAAACAAACATTTGATCGTATCGAACTTCTTCAGCTTGCTGGGGTGTAGGGGGTATTGAACCCCGTCGACATACACTTCGCTCTCTTCCCTCTTTCTCTTGTTGATTCGTCGCCCGATGAACTTGCCCTCCGACGGAGTCAGAGAGTGATTTTTTGCGCAGGCCCCATCGCCTGAAGTACGTTTTGTACTGCGTCTTTCTATTTCGATATGAGATACTCTATGTTTGTAGGTGCTGCAGGGTAAGATGGTACTGACTTTTCATCGAATTCGTACTTAGTTCGCATATATTCCCTGAATATTCCCTGAATTTGCCATTTCCTGGTTTTCATGGATATAGAGGTGCTCCAGTTCGGGCCGGTAGGACTCCCAGATGGCGTCCGCCATGCTTGGATGTCGTGGCCTTGTGCCTTAGGGCTAAAAGAAAAAGGAATTCTTTCCGGTGGAAACCAGCCTTGTACATATCGCGGAGGTAAAAAGTGACTAAGTACATGTAGTACCACCGGGGCAGGAGTTTGGCGAATTAAGGCGTGGGCGGGGAGATGCACACCCTGCCGACTTCCTTCCATCTATTGGCGGTTTCCAGAATCTTGCTGAACTCTGGCACGCTCTGCCAGGAGATCTGCACGAATAGAAAATCGACGTCGGACGTGCGCGGCGGTGTTTAGCGTCTTGCCCGAGTGTCGACTACGGGGATTGGTCTCTTCCATAAACTTGGGCCAACCCATCGATGTGCCGTCAAAAAGTAATCAACAATTGATCAATTGATCAACAAAGATGCCTTGAGTGCCAGCGTAAGCCGATCTATACAGAAACACACAGCACGAAGGTCCCTTCTTGGGTATAAAAAGGCACTTTCACTAATGACCTCTGGCCACATCCAATTATCAAAGCACTCATTGAATCCTGCTTCAGTTCTTTACCTTCTGCCCATCTGAGGGCCATCATGGAGTGGCCGACCAGTTCTTTCCCAACACCCCAAGAGGATACGACTCATCCAGACCGCCTCCCCATCGGTCAATTGCTCTTACCCCGGTCATCAGCCGTTTCGGGGTCTCAGCTAGTCTCCTCCGTCCTTGCAAATTCCCCCTATGGGGCCTTTACCTCCGTTGCGGCTGGACTTCCCCGTAGTATTGAGCCTCATGTTTGGACAATCAATCCGACGGAGGGTCTTTCTAGTGACAGAAACATTCCACCACAAGGCGGCGTGGCGCAGACTGCACAAGCGCCTTTTGCCTATCGCGAGATCCCTGCCGAGTCTCTTGATTTGTTGTATGCTTCCACTAGTAGTGGTCAGCCCCGACGACACTGGACGGATACCAAGGCAGACACGAACCCAACCTGGGTTGCCCCCAATAGCGCCACGAGCCGCCGGCAACATCCAGCTCCAGAAAGGTATGTCGCCTGCTTCATCTGTTATCCTTGGGTGACCTTATGAACGTGGCACACTAACGGTTAAATATCTCTGGAGTAGAATCCCTTCGGTCCTATGTAGTGATCATAGCCCACCGACCTTTGAGTGCAACTGGCTAGGCTGTTCCAGCTCCACACGTTTCAGCACTGTAGGAGACCTTGTTCGCCATCTGAAATCGATCCACATCTCCCCTGATGCGTATTCCTGTCCAGTCTGTGGAAAAACCTCTGGTAGGAAGGATCACCTCCGTGACCACCGGAGACGTCGTCATCGTCGCTTGGTCTGAGACTGTTGTTTACATTCGTGTTCCATGGTTTTTATTCCTGCAGCATTCTCCTCCCATCGCCCCCTTCCGTCTTTCTCTTATTTATCTATCTATATATACTTATTTCGGGTCTTATTGACTGCTTTTACATGCCATGTTTCTCTTAATTGATACTTTTTTTATGGAGAGAACAATATAATAGAAAAGTTTGCGATTCATACCGTCCGGACAATTCTGATAAATAGTGTCGAGAAGGTGCGTCCAATCTCGCGGGCGTTACTCTTCCACTTTGAACTTGGATTTGGTAGTTGTTTTTCCATCGATATCGAGTTCTCATACACTCCCCCATTCACCAGCCGGTCGCAGACGATCGGCCTGGGTACCTCACGCGCCGTCCACTTGACTGTACTCAACTCAACGACCGACCATGCCTCTAGAAGGGCGTCAGAAAATTCAAGTAATTCAACGAAGTAAGAGGGAGGGTTCTATTTCGTAGTGCCCTAAAGAAAGAAGAAAGAGAGAGAGAGAGAGAGAGAGAGAGAGAGAGAGAGAGAGAGAGCAGGAAATAAGCCGAGGAGACTGATTTCGTCTCATCGGAAAGCCAGGCAAGCAACAATGTTAGGTGTCAAGCCTAAACAGGCAAAAACCAACGCGAAGGGGCTCATACGTCTTCCGTTTACACTATCTGTTCCACAAGTTTACCATAACATTAATAGTTATTCTCTAAATGTGGGGAAAGTTGAACAACGATGCTGGGGGCGCGGGACCTTGGGAATGAGCCAGAAAGTGGGGTATAAATGGATTATGTCCACCTACTTACCCTGCTGGCACGAGGCAACTTGTATTGGCAGTCTAATCTTGGCAAGAATTATCGGACAGCCAGCCGCGTCTGACACCTATCAAGTGGTTTGAGCAGTTAATTTTACGGAGAATCTGATTATCCTCACGCAAATCCTTTGCGATATATTTAATACATGATTATAGTAGTGGCACATATACTTTATGTCCATATATTTTTGGATGATACTCTCTGCAGCGACGATTTTTGGCGGGGTCTATCTACTACCATAGACACAAGGATTAGCTTATTTCATTACTTAGTCGAGATGCGAGGGAATCCCGGAGTTTCTCGACAGGAATTCTCGACTCTTCTAGATCACCTCGACGAGAACGAGAAGTTAGCCCTACGGGAAATTTATGGCGCATCTGGGCATTGCTATAGGACCGTTATTTGACATGAAGCTGCATTCCGCTACCACGCGGCTCCGATTAGGGTAATTTAAGTGCTGCTTAACTTCGGACCCTGATAGCCTTCAAGCATCACTGGCCTAGTGTACCCAGGGCAGCGACGATGAGTGGATATATTCGTTGTGGCAGTTAAAACGGTGCAGTATAGCCTACCTAAAATGTACAAGGTATCAACACCTAGTAGTGCAAAAAACCACGCTTTTATTTCAAAAGAGTACGCCTATCTATAGTCTTTCCGCTGTCACCGACAACTACTCCGTAGTTCAATAAGAAGTAGAACATCAATTATCAGAAACTCTTTCCTGACGGGGTTTCTATCTATTTACTACCGAAGAGTACTTTTAATATCTTGAAACCTGCTGAAGTCAGTACTACTGTGCCTTTGAAAGCAGAAAACCCTCCACGTTCGGCGTCATTTCTCACAGACCGAGAGAATCCGGCGGCTAATTGGCGGCGCCGAAGCGACTCCGTAAAGGCTACTCGGAACATAGCCTCTGGATCCCGGTCTCGGAAACGCCCAGCGACCCGAGGTACAAAACCCCAGCACTTCCGAGACAACGCCATGTTAGGCTCCCCTCTTCACTTCTTCCACGATCACTCAAACCCAGCTGAAGCATTATTTCATTCTCAATCACAATACAAAAATATAACCACCATGTCCCTGCCTTCAATAACCCGCTGTTCCACACGACACCTCCTCCGCCCACAATCGCTCACTCCCCAACTCACCCGCACATTCTCCATTCGCCCAGCACTCCGCACCGACACCTCCGCATCCACTATCGCAACATCCTTCCTCACGCGCTTCCAATCCCTAGGCCCGCAAACCCGCTCCCAAACCCTCGATGCCAACCAACTCCAACTTCTCTCACTAACACTCAATCGACCCTCACTATTCCCCAACTCCCCATCTCTCTCCAACACCCCAACCTCCCTGCCGACCGGCACACCCTTACCCGCCGGATACCACCTCGTGTACTTCACCCCCGCATTCTTGGAAAATGAGCTCGGCGCGGACGGCACCGACACCTCATATAACCCTGCGTCGCCGTTCACGCGTCGCATGTGGGCCGGCGGGGAGGTGCATTGGCCGAGGGGAAAGGACGGCAAGCCGAATTGTTTAAGGGTAGGGCAGGAGGTGCAGGAGACGACGAGGGTGCTTAGTGCGGAGCCGAAGGTCGTGAGGAAGACAGGGGAGGAGATGATTGTAGTGGGTGTTGAGAAGGAGTTTAGGAATGAGAATGGAGTGGCGGTTTTGGATAGGAGGTGAGCAGCAATTGGTCTTTTATTTGTTTTTTTTTGAGGTTGGGGATGGTGCTGATGAGAATATATATAGGAATTGGGTCTTTCGCAAAGCTCTTACCTCGCCGTCGCCTACGAGTTCATCTACACCCCCGGCGACGAAGGCATTCAATGGACCAGCTAGTTCGTCTACGGAGACGAGTGAAAATGTGCACACGCGCACATTGCGCCAAACGGCAGTGACATTGTTCCGGTTCTCCGCGTTGACGTTCAATCCGCACAAGATCCATTACTCGACACCGTGGGCGAGAGATGTCGAGGGTCATAAGGATATTGTTGTGCATGGGCCGTTGAATCTCATTTCGATTTTGGATCTGTGGCGCGATACGAGGAAGAATGGGAGTGGGGAGGAGGTGGTTCTTCCGGAGAAGATCTCGTATAGGGCAACGAGTCCGCTGTATGCGGAGGAGGAGTATCGCATTGTATTGGAAGATGGAGAGGATGGGATCGGGAGGGTGCAGATTATTGCGCCAGGGGAGGTGGTGGCTATGAAGGCGGAGATACAGTAGATGTCGTGTAGTTAGTAGGAGTGGGTTGTAGATATTGACTGTTTTCTAGCTGGGAGGGATACATGTATGAGGTGTTACACAAGAGTTCTTAATGACATACCCTGAAATAGAAATAGTATAGCAATTATCTACTGTATTGTACTATCCTTTTGAACAAGTACCGAATCTTCAATTCTTTATAACTTATCTGCTCCACTTCATTCTTAAAGTATGGTTCGGACTTATCTTCGGAGATAACCACTCCACCCCCATCCTTATCGCCATCACGGCCGCCTTCCATTCCACTTCAATCCGACACTCAACTCAACTTCACATCCACTATTTATCTATCGACCACAACTACCCCACCCTCCACACATCTCCCCTGATACTCGGTACATACTAGACCCACTATATACTCCACTGCCCAACGACACAGACCGAACAAGAACAGACATGGAAAAGAAACGCACCCGCGTTCAACTCTCCTGCACTGCCTGCCGAGCCCGCAAGTAAGCACGCGGCAACCCCGCCCCTCTCCCTATCTCACATTCCTCCTTCTACCTCCAATCACTGGCGCCTACTACCTCATACGCCACTTAATCTAATGGTAATAACCCATGCATTAGGCTAAAATGCTGTCGTACCCACCCCTGCACAAACTGCCTGAAGCGCAACGAAGCCGGCACCTGCACCTTCGTCGGGCGCGGTCCGCGCGGCAAGATTTCGAGTAATGGACGAACCAGCCCGGCGCACGTTCAGGATCGATTACAACACTTGGAGAATTTGATTTTGTCGTTTACGCAGCAGCAGCAACAGCAACAGCAACAGCAGGAGAAGCCGGATAGTGTGGGCGAACACCAACAGGTTATTAATAATGGTGGTCAGATCACGCCGGCATCGTCGGTGCCACCATCATTATCATTTGGGGAGGTGCAGCAGGCACAGAAGGAGGGGGAATCGGAAACCCCGCCTCCTGATCCCGGGAGGTTGGTCGTTGGGGAGACAGGAATGAGGTATATTGATGGAGCGCATTGGACTGCGATCCTCGAGGAGGTAAGAGCAGTCTTTTCGAGTAATTGGGGAGTTAGATTGGGTGGGGGCTGATGACGTGCAGATTAGCGGGGTCAAGGAGTATCTAAGGGATAACGAGGAGATAGGATTGTCGGACGAGGAAGGGGAAGATGAGGAGATGGTGAGGCCGTCGAATGCGCCAACGCTATTACTTGGGTTGCACCAGGAAATGACTATGGACGAGTTGTTGGACGGATTGCCGGCTCGGCCGGTCGTGGATCGGGTCGTGGCTATGTTTGTCAGCCTGAATGAGCCGACGACAGGTAGGTGTCGCTGTTATATCGATCCTTAATAGGTGGTGCTGATAGGATTAGTGATGGTGCACTTTCCTACTTTCCAGAAACAGGTATGCTAGCTCAATCTAGTGGGAAATATGTAGAGGATGCTGCTGACGTGCGCAGTATAATCAATTCTGGTCAAGACCAAAGGGGGCTTCCATTTCTTGGCTGGCACTGCTGTACGCGGCTCTCACTATCACAATGTCCGTGTATATGCGCACCGGGGAGCCGCTACCGGCAGAATTTGGGGAAGCAACTGAGGCTGTTCAGCGCCTCAGGCACTTGACGGCGCAGTGTCTAGTTCAGTCAAACTACACCGTTCCCGGCCGTTTCAAAGTGGAAGCTCTGTTTTTCTACACAATGTGCGAGTTCTTTCGCAGCGAGGATGCCCAGGTCGGAGTATCGTTCCTGCTAAACATGACAATTCGGCTGGCCATGCGGTCAGGGTACCACCGGGATCCGCAACAGTTTCCGAATATCTCACCATTCGAAGGCGAGATGAGGCGGCGGGTCTGGGCTATCATGCGCCAACTGGATGTCCTGATCTCGTTTCAGGTTGGGGTCCCGCGGGGTATACAGGACTGGCAGCAGGACGTGGAGCCCCCGCGTAACATCTCTGATGAGGAATTCGGGGAGTCTACCGTTGAGCTGCCGCCATCTCGACCCGAGACTGAACTCACTACAACTTCATATATCCGCGGAAAATCGCGACTTATGGCTATCTTTGGGAAGATCTCCGATTTAGCGTACTCGCGCGATCCCATGACATATGATGAAATACTGGCCCTGGACCGACAACTGGAAGAAGCTCGAGATCTTGTGCCCCATGCATTCAAGATACGCCCTCTTGACCAGTGCTTTGTGGATTCTTCATACCTGATCCTGAGACGATACACACTGGAACTGCTGTACCAGAAGGCCCGCTGCGTGCTGCACCGGCGCTACCTGGGCGAGGTGCATACCAACCCCCGCTATGCGTATTCGCGTTGGGTATGCATGAGCGCTTCCAAGGAGATTCTCCGCCACCAGGCGGATATCTACCACGAGACTCAGCCGGGTGGGCTTCTTTATCGAGACCGACAATTCCCGAACTCGCTACAGACTGCAGATTACTTGCTTGCCGCGATGATCATCTGTTTGGATCTGTCGCAGAACCCTACCGGCACACCGCCAGGAAGCACTGACGAAGATGTTATCCGGGGCCGGGAGGAACTGCTATCGACCATTGAAACGTCGCATCGGATCTTCGAGCAGCAGCGTAGACGGTCGGCAGATGCACAAAAGGCATACGCTGCACTAACAATCATGCTGCGGCGGTTGAAAGCCCAGAAATTGGACAGCGAACAACTGGCTTCCGGTAAGTGGCACGGGGTAATGTTGGATACGTTGCTAATGGATGCAGCACAACAACAACCATATGGAAGCTCCAATGGACAGTCATACCCAGTGGTAGATCCAATGGGTATTACCCCAGAGTATCAATCACTCGACGTGATCGGAGAGATGCTCGATGCGCCAACCAATCTCGACTGGGTAAGTGAGCGGCTGCAACTGATGAATGGAGCTAGCTAACAGGCGTAGAATCTCTGGGACCAGCATATGCAAAGTGTCGCCGACATGGGGGTAGGGTTATGGGGGGATAATGTACCAGGAAGTGTAAACATATAGAAAAGGGAAGGAATTGTAGACCACAGCGGAAGTGTCAACCGGGAGGAACCCGAGATAAGCTCGGGGGGCGGAGATCCGCTCGGAAGCCGACAAAAAGTCCAACCCAAAGTTGGACCACCATTCTACCCTCTACCCAAACCAACTACTGATATACTCCTAATCCCACCACCTCATTGCATTGCACATTTCACATCCACAATGATGCGACCACCGATACCACGCAGCCTCCACAACCGGGTCGCATCCATCCCACGAGCAGCGCATGGGTCACTCTCCACATCAATCTTGTCCAACGGCATCTCCCACCAACCAACAAATAACAACAACAACCTACGAACCACCAGATCAGCAACCTCAATCTCTCCAATCACCTCAACTCCCCAGTCTACAATCCAAAAGCGCCCCTTTCTCTCCTCCTTCCTCCCCAACTCCGACTCCGCCTCCAAAACCCGCCACCTAACCGCAACCCGAACTCTCCCACACCCTCCCGCCCCCCTCTTCGACATTATCTCCTCCGTCGAATCCTACTCCTCCTTCCTCCCTTTCCTAACCGCCTCAACCGTTACCCACCGTGACCCAACCACCAACTACCCGACCCGCGCGTTCCTCACCGTCGGCTACGGGCCCCTCAGCGAGACCTTCACCTCCAAGGTGACTTGCGACCCGGAGAACTGGGTCGTGGAGGCACAAAGCGGCGCGAAATATGGCGTGGGCAAGAAAGATGGACAGGGGTTTCCGGGTGAGGATGAGGGGCTCTTTGAGTACTTGAGTACGAGGTGGGAGTTGGAGAGTCAGGGTGAGGGTAAGGGGACGGTGGTGAGACTGGATATTCGATTTGAGTTCCGCAGTCAGTTGCATGCTGCTATGATGGGCGCTGTGGAGGGACAGATGGCGGGTGTTATGGTCGAGGCGTTTGAGAAGAGAATTTACGATGTGTTGGGGAGGGCTTGAGCTTTCTCTCCTTTGTGGATCATGGACGGTATGTGGTGGCTAGGATGTATTATATTATTGGTCTGTGAAGGGAAAGGAAGGAGACATGGTACACATCAGTGCATACATAGAATATGGAATAGAAGCTACACAGTGTATAATACAGTTTATCACATGAACAAAAAAGAAATGACCGGAAGAGAGAATAAATCACAGCATGCTCAAGTTCCGTCCAGCATTAGCCGCATTGCCCTTAACCGGCCCAACCGCATTGTAGTTGTCGAACACCACCTCCCAGTTAATCCGATCCCACCAGCGCTCCAAGTACTCCGCCTTACCGCCAATACCATAGTCCATCATCCACACATGCTCCCACGTGTTCACACACAGAATAGGCTGCACATCCAAAGCACCCGGCGCCATGTTCTTCTGGTTAGCCGCGTGCGCACCCATCGCGCCAGCGTACTGGTTGCCCAGCGGCGCGTCCGGCGAGTGTGTCGCCATGTCGACCGGTTGCCTCCGCGCATGAGCCGCCGGGTAGGGCGAGCCAGCGTTATACGTGCAGAAGATGTGCATCAGACCCTCCCGCTCCAGGTTCTTGGCCAGCCAGACGAAGCCGGGGCCGAACATGGCGTTGGCGGTGGCCAGGAAATCGAGTTTCAGGGATTCGATCGAGGAGCAGGTGTCGACGATGTCTTTGGCGAACTTTTCGGGGATCTGGGTTTGTTGGGGGGACTATAGGACAGGACTTGTTAGATGCTGAGCTCGACAATTCGACCTGACCTTGGTACCACTCACCAGGCAGTTGAAGAAGAAGTGGTTGTTGTGGGCCATCGAGGCATAGTTGAACACGGACGCCATCTCCGGCCGGCGGGAGTACTTGACCAGCAGTTCTCCGGGCTTTGCGTCGGCGTCGACGGTGTCTGTTGCAGTAGAAAAACGATGATGTTAGTCTCATACCAGCGGAGTTTGAGCTGCACTGCGAGGATACTAACCCTGCGTCATCAGGTTCAGCTTGTCAATGAGCAGACCCTGGTATTGCGTCCAGGCGAAATCGAACGCCTCGGGCGATAGCAGCTCCGGAACGCCATTGTTTTTGAAGTACTGGTCGTTGGTCAATTGGGGCACGCGGTGCAGGCTCCGGATCTGGAAGCGTGGGAGCGCGGAGACGGGCTTCTGGCGGAGGTCAGGTTGGTTAGCTATGAGCCCACCCCGGACATTGGGACAGGGTCAGCTCACCTGGGAGAAGGCGGAGGCAGCACGCAGCGCGGACTGCGGCCGGAAGAGGCGGTTCAACATGATGATGGGGGATTGGACAAGCGACAAGATGACGAGCAGCAAGCGGTTGATTTCAGGACCACCGCAGAATTTCCCGTTCGGCCTTCAGAACTCACCTCTTTCGGGTCTAGCGCAGGTTAGGTAAGCGGGCGCCAGCTCAACCAATAAGAATGCTGCGATTTACTTCGGCAGCATTTCAGCCTTCGTGATCTTCTTCGTCTGGCTTCATCGCTCAACATCCTCTACGCGCCGGGCTCTGCAGGAGCTCTGGTCGGGTTTAGAATGCCATGGCCTGTCGTTGATCGTCGCCTTCCAGTGGCTCCTCCCGGCGCCTATCTCAACCATCCTCATTAGCCCTCGAACCATGCGCCCCATCCGCTGTGCTATTCTGAGACTCGGCGCCTGCAGCTGTGGGTGTTTGTATCATGATGCTGCAGAATGTCGGGCAGCACGTAGCTCTGGCTGATTAAGATGGGCGCTTCCTGGTCCATCTTTGAGAGCGGATGGCAAATGCCTTTGTAAGTCGCTCATTGTTCTTTCAACTATTCTTTCACTCATTGACGCTGTTGCAAAGTTCTTGTCTCATACTTTCTTTCATAGACAAGATTCCTCGGTTAGCCAAAGTCTACTCAAGCCTTTATTTGGTTTTCTTCTTCTTCATTTCTGTCAATTGTACTGAATTAGACTCTGATCGCAATGACGAGGCCACATCTTTGTTCCCTCATGAGACGACCCTCCATGATACTGCTCCTCGCCCTCATCGCTTCGACAGTATCGCCAACGCAGGCCTTTGGCTTACTGCTACGAAGCTCTGACTCCTGTCCTAGTAACTACAACAAATGTGCAGACAGCAAGTTACCGGCTGATTTCTGCTGCTCCAGCTCATCAACATGCATCAGCCTGGACGACTCCAGCTCTGCCATCTGCTGTCCAAGTGGACAGAGCTGTGACTACATCGAAACCATAACCTGCGATGTGCAGCTCCAGAACGCAACAGCACATCCCAAGAACTCTGTCAAGACGACCCGGCTGGATGACTCCCTCCCTAAATGTGGCGACAAATGCTGTCCCTTTGGATACACCTGCACAGGAGACTCGCTGTGTGCCATGAACACATCCAGTGCATCCACCCTCAGCGCCAGCCAGTCATCCACAACGTCCACAGGAGGGACCACATCCTCCACAGGAACCATCACCTCCTTCACAACCTCCGCCTCTACAACCGATGCCTCCAACCCCACCATCGTCCCCGTCACCACGGGCTCCTCCAAATCCGCCATCTCCGACAACAACAGCAGCGCCAACGGCACCTCCTCAGCAGCCGCACTATCTTCTAAAGCCACCAGCCCATCCTACCCTACCAACGCTATAATAGCAGGCTTCTTTCCCGGCGCCATCTTCGGCGCCGTCCTAGCCCTGTTAGCCCTCTTCCTCTACCGCAAATACCAAAAGAAACACCAGCCCCCATCCGCCAAAGTAGCCCAATTCACCCGCCGCTCCTCAAAAGGCACCCTCCTCGGCATCTCCTCCCCGATCCCCTCCGACGAGACCTCCTACCGAACAGACTTCCTCCTCCGCCGTAACCGCAACACAAAGCGATACTCCGAAGGCGCTCGCTCACGTATCCAGCGCACTGGAACCCGAGTCCGGAGTCTCTTCAACCCTAACAATGCTCCTCCTCTACCGAAAGCTAACCCTGCAAAGACCCTTGTCCCGGAACACGGCGGAGGAGCAATGCACGCCCGCGTACCGGTACCTGTTCCCCCGCTGCCTATCTCCGTGACAACGTTGCAACCCGGGCGGACGCCATCGAAGAAGAAATTGACCCGTACGGAAAGCATAAGGGTGTATACCCCGCCAGGGGTGTTTGCTACGACAGGGGTGTTGAAGCCGGATCCGTATCCGACGCATATAAGGACGGAGGGGGCGTTTGATGACATGGAGAAGTGATGTCTTAGAAGTAATTTTTTGATTTCGTACGTGGATTGAGATGCGTACGCATTTACGTTGTTTTCCGTGACTGAATAAAGTAATGAGGTGGTCCATTGTGTGTATGTGTTCATGTCCTGAGATACCTTAAAGTTAACTGTTTACTTGAATTTGCGCAATCAATATCATGCAATGAATCTAAGAATCTACTATACTATACATACACGAAACCAAACCTACCCACTAAAACGGGGTCATCACTTCCTTCTCTCCCTCCAAGCACTCACCACCTTCTTGACCTCCTTCAACAACCCCACAATAAGAGGTACTCCCACCGGCCCCAATAGCGGCAAATACACCGCCACCTTATGCTCATCCGGGAAATACATCTGGCCCACCATACTCTTCTCGAAGAAGCTGCGCTCGGCCTCGCCCTCCGCGACACGGGCACTCGCCAGGGCGGCCTGGAACTGGCCGTGGCGGAGATGGTCGCATGCGGAGGAGAGATGAGAGAGCGTAGTAGAGACGGAGGTGGCCACGGTAGCGGGGATGGGGATTTGGGGGAGGGACTCGGTGAGACGGGCGAGGGAGCCCATGGTTGAGGAGGCGGAGAGGAGGAGGGATGCGGCGCGGACGCGGGTGAGGGTTTGGAGACGGAGGGGGAGAGGTGGAGGGGTGGAGGGGGCGCCGAGGAGGGTGAGGAGTTGGTGGGAGAAGGTCATGAAGGCCGGGCCGAGGGTTTCTTTGGTGAGGTGCGTGGGGTGGTCAGGGGTTGGGGTTGGGTTTAGGAGGAAGACACCGCCCCATTGCGGGATGATCCAGCTGGTTGCGAGGCTGTCTTTGACGACGAGGGGGGATTGTGAGGGGGAGGGGATGTAGAGGATGAAGTTGATGGTAGGGCCGGGGCCGATGCTGGGGCTGAGGGGCCACTCGGCGGCGTTGATGAAGGCGCTGAGGTCGTCCTTTTTGAGGGTCCAGGCAGAGTGGGTTTCGTCGTATTCGGGGGGTGGCGCGGTTGGGGAGGAGGTTGCGTAGAGCTGGACTTGGGTGTCAACAGTGAAGTTGCTGATGGGGGAGAAGGCGTCGAGGACCGGGGTGATGTAGTCGTGCACGGCAGCTTGGATGTCCCAAGAGGAAGGGGATGCGCCGGGGGTGAAGAGACTGAAGGCGAGGTGGTAGGTGTCGGCGTACTTCATGGAGCGGCGGAGACGGCGAGTGACGCTCTCTGCGAGATCCGGGGAAGTGGGTGCGCCGGGGATGTTGTTGTCGGAGAGCACCTGGGCGATGATGGCTTTCTCCTCGGCGAAGAGAAGCTGAAGCTCGTCTGCGAGGAAGGTGGATAGGGGCGAGTTGGACGCCGACGGGGGCGGAATCTGGCTAGGGGGATAGAAGACATCGAGCTGAGTGGTATCATGGTGGAGAGCTGCGCGAGGGCTGGAGAGGTCGTCCTGGGGCAGTAGACGGACGGTCAATGCGGTGTCTGCGGCGTCGGCTGCGGGGGGCTGATCGGGGTTCTCGTGGGAGAGCTTCAGTCGCAGATGGTGCGCGGAGAACTCATTGAGGTCGTCGAGCGTGTGCTGCGTCGAGCGGAGAAGATGCTGAGCGTCGACATCGGGCAGGGAGGGGGTCTCGACGCGGATCTCGAGGGGGAAGACAGGACGACAGGTCTGGTGTTGGGGATACTGTTAGCGAGGCTATGAGCAGCAAGGTGGTAAGATTACCTTTCCATCAGCCCAATCAATCATGTTTGGGACAGGCAGAGAAGCGCGATAGATCGAGGTGGTCTTCCACCAGATGGGAAAGCCCAAGAATATGATTACAGCCCAGAAGGCCGCAATGACCTTGAAGCGGGTGCGGATGGCCTCGGGCTTCTCGGGCGGCGGCAGACGCGCCGTGGGGGTTGCGGTGCTCATGGTGTGGTCGGAGACAGTCTGAGGAGACGTCTGGGGATATTTATTGGCCGTCATGGCCACATACTTGAGAGAGGGAGTGGTGGTTGTCGAGTTGGAGATGAAATGGAGATGGAGTTGAGATGCGGCAGCCAAGGCGGAGTGGTCCCGCCAGTTGGCCGATCGTCTTGTTTTACTCGCGGTTGAAGTTCTACGTCTGGAGCAGCAGAAAATAGTCTAACAGCATACCGATAATTCCATATTATGCTATCCTGCGAATTCACTTGGGGTATCTAACCAATGCGCCAGCCCAAAACAACAAGACAATCCCAATTAATACTCCTTTTCGAAGATCTTTTGGATCGGTTTGGCCGCCTACACCCGTTAGTAAACTTCATAGAGAGGAACACAGTGCAACCCACGTCGATAAACCGCTCTAAATCCTGATCCAAGCTGGCCAAATCCTCCTTGCGCTTGTTGTTCTCCGCGATCAAGGCCTGCTTGCGCTTCAGCAGCTCCTGTCGTGCCTGTTCCAGCTTCTCCCGTTCCGCATGTTCGTGATTGATGCGAGCGATCATCAATTCGTGTTCATCGGACTGCTGGTGCTCGGGATGCAGAGCCAGAAACTCTTCGAGGGGAATCAAGGGTAGGGAGCGATATTTGTGACTATCCTGGTCAGCGTTCACCACCATACAATGTCCATCGAGGACTACCTACTCGTAGGACTCGCAGGCGGCAATCTCGCCCGTCAAATGTCGCTGTTCATAATACAAGTTCTGGAGTTGGAGATGGAGACGGTCAATCTCCTGGCGGGCTTCTGCAGTGGACTGCTTGGTCTCGCGCACGCGCATAATCGCATCCCGGTTCTGGCCCCGCAGACGAGCCAGAAGAGCAAACAATTGTTTCTGCTCGCGAGAGGCTGCCAGAGCACGCTCTTGAGGGTCATCGGACAGATCAGCCGTGGGGTCGAGTACGGCCAACAGTTTCATGCATTGATCGCGAGTCTCGGCGCTGAGCCCGAGCACGGGCAGCAGCGAGGGATTGGCGACGATATCGCGGATGGCCATGGCGGGTTATCACAGGATGGATAATTCCGACGGGAAAGGCGGAGACGACAGAAGGATAATTAGCGTGTACCAGTGCTTGAGGAGAGGAGGATGTTTGTGGTTCGGAGGTGGCTGGTGGCAAGGAAATCAACGCCAACGTGGAGCAGCTGCGGTCGCTGATGGGCTGAGCGCTAATGTTGGGTTTGTGACAGTAGCCACTGAAAGGTTTGGAATGAAGAGAATGGCGTGTAGACTCAATGAAGTCCAAGGCTAGTGAGCTGCCGGTTGAAAGACCGGGCGGGAATGAAAAAGGCCGTTTCAGCGCAGTGGTTAGTTAGTGATTCGGAGACGAAGCAGCCGGGAATTAATCTTTGGATCCTCCCCTCCCCACTTGATTTGATTCTCTCCTCTTTCTTGTCCTTCTCCTTCTCCTCTTTTTGTCGACTGACAGACACCTCTGTCTCCGTTTTCCCCTCGCCTCTCTCTGACTGTACTGGCTGCTGTTGGATTGCCTCTCCTCTTTTTCGTCTCTCCTTTATTACTCTCTCCTCTCCTCTCCTCTCCTTGCATATTTATTTGTTTTCACTTCTTGTACGTATTTTGGTACTGGTTTTCTCCGCCTATCCCGGTTCTCCCGATCTTCCCCACCCAAAACAACATCCTTCGCTGTCTGCCCAACCACCACTAACTCCTCTTTCCTTCAGGATATGTGGAATTGATTTCTACGCTGTGGGTTCTCTGTCATTGTACGCCATGGCCTGCTCATCACAATCTGTCACCATTGAGTCCTATCCTGAGGCGGCGGTGGCCTCAGCCTATGCCACCCCCGGAGAAGACACCGGCCTCCTGAGAGATCGTCGTCGCAGACACTCTTTCCACACAGCTCGCAAGTTGTCCTGCGACTACGATGCGGACGCTGTATTCCTACGGGTACGCCGCATTCTCGTCTTCACCCCCAATTCTGTCCCTGACTGACCTCTCCGTAGGTGGAGCTCTTCCTGGCCGAACTCGAACGACGCCTCCACTGGCTCGAACAATACCGCAAGTCCCACATGGATCAGATCGACGCCAGTCTCCGCCGTGGATACGCCACCCTGGAAGCCGTGCGAGATTCCTGCTCCCATGCCTCCGGCGAGCTGATGGGTGGTGGGAAAAAGCGGGCCAAGATCCTCGTCGAGACGCTGGAGGACCGCTACATGGATGCACTCGCAACAAAGGAGACGCTCGAACAAAAGGCCCAGGCGGGAGTCCGACTGATGGAGTCGTTTCTGGTCGAGCTGGAGTCCCGCGCCCATGCGGTCCGCGACCGGGGGCTCTACGGCACTCTGGACGATGGATGGAAGGCGATGGACTCGAAGCTGGTGCATGCCCGTGAGGTGGTCGACGAGGGTATGGAACGGGCACGACGGGCGAAAGACGCGCTGCGGGAGAGCATCGACCGAGCTATCCTGCTGGCCCAGGAGCAACGGTTGATCACGTATGCGGATCTCCCGCACCCGTGGCGGGTGAACCCGCATATTCTGCAGGGGTATCGGTTCACACACTCCAAGGTGGAATGCTTGACCTCGGTGTTCTCGCCTTCGAATGAGACGTTCAACATCTGGTCCCACCTGATTGGGCTTTTCATCGTCCTATCGGTGGCCTTTTACTTTTATCCGCTGAACCCCAACTTCCACCTCAGCTCGCGGACGGACATTCTGGTGGCCGCCGTCTTCTTCTTCGCGGCGTGCAAGTGCCTTGTCTGCAGCACACTGTGGCACACGATGAACAGCATTGCCAGCCAAACGCTGATGGAGCGGTTTGCCTGTGTGGACTACACGGGCATCTCGATGCTGGTGGCAGCCTCGATTGTGACGACCGAGTACACGGCTTTCTACTGCGAGCCGGTGTCACGGTGGACTTACATTTTGCTGACCATGTCGCTCGGTATCGGAGGTGTGATCCTGCCGTGGCACCCAACCTTTAACCGGGCGGATATGGCATGGGCGCGCGTGGCTTTTTACGTGTCGCTAGCGCTGACGGGATTCGCGCCGTTGGCACAGCTGACGTACACGCGTGGACTCGCCTGGTGTTTGTATTTCTACGCACCAGTAGTGAAGAGCATCATGGTGTACTTCGTGGGAGCGTGTGTTTATGCGTCGCAGGTGCCGGAGCGGTGGCGGCCAGGACTGTTCGATTATGTGGGTGGCAGTCACAACATCTGGCATCTGGCTGTCTTGGGAGGGATCCTGTTCCACTATTGCGCGATGCAGGATCTGTTCGCGGGAGCATTCCAGCGGGCGCAGGGCGAGTGCCCGAACCTGGCCAAGTAGGAGGTAGATGGGTAGTAAAAGGGGTGTAGATGATGTATAGACATAGAGTAGATGTTGGTTGTATTGTGGATGTTTTGTTCTTGTACATACATTTGGGGAAGATAGCGGACATAGACTTCTTTCCTATAGCTTCAACAGTTACCATCTGACCACAACTTTGGCAGTGATACATCTCTCGATACTTCTCTCCCGGCAACCCCTCATTCAACGTCGGTCTCATCGTAATAGTTTGGATGAACCGGCGTTGAGAAAACGAGCAAGTCAACCACGGGAAAGGGCCCATCCATTACATTTGCAGCGACGGGATTGGGTGAGATGCAATGACAAGATGGGTCTGGAGGAAGACTACTAAGAGACCATAGTGGATGACAGTTGGTTCACGAGATCAAGGAGATCCTCATCCGTGAGCACTAGACAACTACCAACCCCTCCATGAGGCCATAGAGGGGCCACAAAAAACAGCTTGCTGCTGAATATATAAACTGATCGGACTGACCACTTTATCTACTACTACTACACTTCTGTCTCGCCACCACCACAACGACATCCTCCCAACCTAGTACAACCACCTCACCACTCAAAGGAACCCAAATAGAACTCACGAAAATGTTCCTCGCCTCACTCCCCCCCAACACCCCCATCACCGTCACCATCACCGGCACCCAACCCCACACCCCTCCTACCCTCACCACCGAACTATCCTCTCTCTTCGCCTCCGCCGCCTCCGACTCTCTCTGCGCCCATACCGAAACTCTCCACCAGCACCACACCTCCCCTACAAGCATCATCCATCTAACCTACTGGTCCACAACAAACTACGAGACCTGGCTCAAATCCCCCAAAGTCTCCGCCTTTTTCGCCTCCCTTCCCAGCAATCAAGAAGATGAAGCACCAGGAATCTACCATGAAACCCTAACCATCCAGCCATCTCGCATCCAAGGGGCCACGAACCACCCCGTGCCCTCGGGATGTATGCACTTGGGCAAGATTGACCTCAAGCCAGAGTTGTCGGGGTACTGGGGGTGTTATCCGGATCGTATCCAAGAAAAGGATATAAAAACTTCTCTAACCAAGGAAGAGGTTGTTGCTGTTGCTGAAAGCAAGAATGCTAAAGAAGAGGGGGAAATAATCCCAGGAAAACAGACCATCACACATATACCCGATAATATCTGCTTCGTCGTCGAAGGCCAAGACCACTCCGCCGCGTCGGAGGAAGAACGCACTTACTGGAGCGAACGCTTCGATTCCTTGTCCCAGGAATGGGTGGGCCAGGTGCTGGGTGCGGGATTACCCGGGGGAGTGGTTTCTTCGAGGGGGTGTTATAGTTCTTCTGTGCCTTCTACTATCTCTACTTCTGAGGGGGTGAAGAGGTATCCGTTGACGCTTGGGAGGGATGTTCAGCTTCTTTACTTTGTGGATTTGCAGCATATGGAGACGTTGGGGAGGAAGAGTGCCGAGCATGTGAAGCTTAGGAAGGCGTTTATGGAGGCGTATGGGCCTGGGGGTGTGTTGTTTGGAGGGGGGTTGAAGTTGTGGGTTGAGACGGCGGTGTTGAGGGACGGGGATTTCAAGGGCGAGTATTGGGGCTGTGAGAAGGGGACGGGGTTGTTGGGGGTAAGGGGAGTGATGGGGGTTGAGTGATTTAGTGTGTATATGCAATGGGGATCTTGTTCGCATGGCAGTTGTTGATATACAACGGTGGTGATATGGTGGAGAAAATTTATTGAAGCAAATTCTATATCATGATGTATCTTGGTCCGTCTGGAGGGTTTCATGCAGATGGGTATGGAGATGGGAATTGGCGTACACACTTAATGCTCTGTATCCGTATGCGTCTACTTATGGTACCCAATGAATGCAGTTTGATAAAGCTATAGTCATCACACTCTCTGTACCTCTCCCACTATCAAGCAGACCATGGATACCTCAACTACTACAGCTGAGCAGCAGGCTTACGTGAACTCGACCCAAATCAATATAGAAAGTAGACATGATCTACCACTACTAACACCAAGTACGACGTCTACATTTCCTTGTATAGAAACGAAGATATCCCGACCTGGTTTCATGACTCAAAATCCTGCTTCTAGCTCACTCAACGCATAGATCCGAAATATCTCACAAATTCCGTCACCTGTACGAATAATCATTCAGTACCTGTCACGGCTGCGCCTTGGAATGCACGCAGATATCCATTCTTAGCAGCATATACGTAATCACTGCTGGTCATACTCTCAGCACATGAACAGGTAGCAGCCATTGATCATTAAACTCCATCATCCGCAAGAACACCCACCTCGCGTGTACATCTTGCAAAGCATGAATCATCCTTCGCGTCGCATGACCTCTGCATTACGAGCCGATCAAGTCTCCACAACTGTTCACTGCGTGGGACTGCGGTGCTCTCCATGCCAAGTTGCATTGCATCGTGTTTGCCCACGCTACCTGGCATCGAGACACATTATCCCGCCCTGCTTCGAAACCTGTTTCGAGACGAGGTTCAACACTGCTGATAGGTTAGAGGACCGGAGAGTGGCCGAGAGTAAATCAAGCTCTGGGAAAGATACTGCCCGCTTCAGTAGAACAGCTCATATCACTGGCTAACAAGGATCAATGTGACAATATGCATGCATAATCTGGTTTTCACCCACTGCGCGACTCACAGTCAATCCACCGCGCCACATAGGTGACGTTGCTGCTGCCACTCACCTCGGAGATGTAAGTGTAGATCTCAACGCCTCGACGCCACACTCATCCCTTCCTGGTTGCCTTCGGTTGCCTTGGGCCTGACTCGGGTCTGGCGGTGGGATGCTGCCGTTATTGCCATGTGGGTATGGTAGCCTCGGGATAGTTAACCCAGATAATGGGAACCATAAGGCTGATCGCGGCATATCTCAGTCTATAAATCCCGTGATTGCAATATATGCAATGATAGAGACTATTGCTTGCCAGCCTAGTAGATCATACTGCCTACGTGATCCTAGAAAAAGCAGCGCAGTTAAGAAAAAAAGCATACTTTCTCGTGATGAACATGATTCTCGTATAAGCCACCATGCTGGGTCCCCCACGAGGATCACGAACAGGTAGATAGTATATCCACTTTACGCAGGGATCATCCGGAAGCGAAGGCTTGAGCTCCCATGTGCCGTGCTCTCAGCCGATTGCTATGCCGGTTTTCTTGTCAGCTGGATTTTCTGATGCTGTTATTGGCCTTTGTCCTCTTCCTGCTGTTCCACTTCATCACATCTGGTCATTCTGCCAGTTCATGCAGGTGTCCGCTGCGCTTCTCGCTTCGTTCAAGCGATGTCTCAGCTATCAGCTGCGCCGAACCCTAGACAGTTCCACTTCAGCAGCATGATCACACGCCAGAGATTCACACGCATGCACTGTGCATCACCTGGAGGGAATAAGCACTCCCCAACCACACGTATTGTGCTTCTTTAAGACCTACATGTCTCAGTTGGCATGGTCATCATGGGTAACCCCTGCCAAAAGTAGCGCATCACAAATGGCATAGCAGAACTACGATTATCATCACACAGGAAACAATATTGAGTCCAATATCCCAAGCTCGTGCTATCTTCGATCCAGCTTGTAACGCTTGGTGCATCAGCAAGGACCATCAGTATCCCACACGCAGAGATGGGCTTTCTCAACGGTATGTGCTCGTGTAGTTTGCTTGAAACAGCCATATTTGAGGCATTTCCACGTCGTATTGGCCATCTCTCACGAGCCCACTAGTGATGGACCACAGAACCGAGCTCGTACTTTAATTCTGATCGAACATCTAAATCGCAGTCGATGGTAAACACTAGTCCTTGTAACATACTTTGCTGCCTTACCAAATATTGGACGGCAGCAGCGTGTTTCAAGTTTCCGAGTATCAAACGGCTTTCAGTCGGCTGCTTCGGGCCTGGACGTAGATAGTAAACCGATATGAAGCTGTTCGTACCAAGATTTGTCACATAGCCCTTGGGCCATGCATGCATGAAAGAGGCATGCCAACGCCATATCATGGCAATGCACTTACGCGCATGTATAAACGCAAATGACTCATTCCGTGTCGCGGCTTGAGCCGACATCCAAAGGCCCAGCCTCGTGTAGCACCCCGGCTAAGCATACCTTGCTTAGCGAACATAATCTAGGGATTTGACGGGAGCAATACGAATTTGTAGCAAATCCCGAAAGGCGGAAGGGTGTATGTCGCTTCCGTGTAACGCTCAGAGACTACTAGTTTTATGGTACCTGAGAAACTAGTCAGGGGACCCGTAGGTTCCGAAGAGTTCCTGCGTAGAGGGTCCTAGTTTGGACGTATCGCTCGGTGAGGAGGACTTGACGCGGATCCCTGCCGAGGTCGTCCATGTCCGAGCATACCTCAAGGAAAAAGGGAGAGAGAAAAAGCAACGGTCCTTGGCTTGTTGACGAATGCCAACAGATTGACGGAGAACGCCGGTCCACAGCCTTTCACATTTCCGATGAAGGCCTCATCAGCTGCTCGCGTCACCTCGTTCCTGCAATCCTGCTAGTTGACGTAACTAACTTCTGGCGGGTGTTTCAGCTGTCCTGCGCGTGAGTGACGACCGCTTGTCATGCTAATTTTGTGGCGGCCGGAAGGGGCTGTACAGGGAAAAGAGTTACGCCGAAGAACAGGGGTAGCATAGGAAAGGGAACACTCAATTCCCCGGAATTTCCGTCGACTTGTTTCATAGTTTCATCACACTATGCCTTAGGCTTCAGCTGAAGGGAGGATCAGCGATGTGCAGTTGCGGCGTAGATCTTTGCCGCTTTAGCTGCGAACACCAGATCTCACAGCCTGCGCAAGACACTAGGTCAAGGGCGCAGTTAGCTTGGATTCCTAGGAGTCCCTCTTCTTCTGGTCCCGTAATTTTAAGGCTCGGCCGCTGCCATAGTTCGGCTCGGTTCGAGACATGGCAGCTCTGACCAGCGGTCCACGCGGAAAGGCATGCTTGGCTGGTCCAGTTTGTTTAATCTCTTGTGTTCTTGCTTTTCTTTTCTTTTCTATTTTTTCTGGCTCGCTGGTTTTATAACCTTGTCACGTACTTTTCAGAAAGATCCGGTTCCGATAGAAGCCACTGATCGTTTGACGAGGTAAATGAAGTCATCCTTGGACTCGGTAGCCCTAGTAAGTACCTGCTATCCATGTCGGACCGCCAGCCAAGGGTGGTCCATGCGGGTTTGCGCACCGGCTTTCTTACCGAATAGAAGCAGCGATGAAAGATAAGGTTGCTGGAGCTAGGAGCTTGGACCAAGTGTGCCTTGCAGGCGCGCAGTGAAACCAACCAACCCGTGTCCGCGACCAGGGGAAAAGAAAAGTAAAAAATTATTGACGGTATTATTTACTCGGCCCTTCAATAAATTCGTATCCTCACTCAATCCTGCGGCCGAGCTCGGTATTCACTCGCATTACCGGAATGCAGTCCGTTTTCAGGCCGTGTGAATCAATAGCACTGGAGGTGTTTCCTGATGGATACCTTTCCCCGCGGAATGGCGTGGAGACTGACCGTTTCTGGGTCATAATCTGCCAGCGGAGAAGCCCGCAAGGGCGCTGACATATTCGGGGGAAGCGAAAAATAAATCAGAACGGAATCGGCCGGCGTTGTCTGTAGATAGCAGGGGACGATAGCGCAACGCTTTGTGAGTGAGACCTCGAGAGGAGCCCCTTTTCGGAATGCTTTCTCCGAGGATCCCTGAGATGGCCAACCGCCGTTCCTCGCCCATTGCTCCGTTAGCCGTTCATAGTCACTTTAGCTTGTGCAACGGACCCGGCGTTCTGGTAAGCCATGCGAAGGAGGCAGCCGGACTTCCACCAACTCGGCGAATCTAACGTTAGTTGCCAAATAGGAATGATTAGGTCCGTGGATTGACGCAGGGTACTTTCGCCGCTACTCCGTAGTTTGCCCATTATTTACGGTAGTGCCATCACGATCCGTGATTGACCAGGCCAAATTTAGAAAGCGACAATTGCTTTTGGGGGGCGCATCCTCATTTCTTATCGCGCGGGCGTGGATATCCCCTTTTTTGACTGGTCCATAGGCCAGAAAAAAGCAAATCTGACAGAGCACTGGCCAGCAGCAATCTTTTAAGGAGAACGAGGCTTGGCTTAGCAGGCTCCTTTTCAGCAAGTACATAGTTGATCGTTTGATTAAAGGGACAACCCCTCAGTCAAGCTGACCGAGGTAAGCATGTCCGGCGGGCTGTGACAAGCAGGTATGTGAGCGCCTCCGGATCAAGATCGGGGGTTGCTCAATAATCCCTGCTGCTGTTCTGCTAATTTTGGATTGTTGTCGACAGGGCTAGAAGAGACAGCGAACTAACTAATGTTGCGTCCTCTAATCGAGCGAGGACTGCTCTCGTATCGTAATGATGGTTGAGGAAATGGGGTGAAGCTTTCCACATTCACCTCATCACAGCCTTTGCTGCCCAACTTGCAAGTTTGTATGCTGTCGAAGGATGACATTGTCACCTGCAGCTTTCGTAGTGACTGCCACTGAATGCAATAATGCCGTTGATTCTTCGGAGACCGCAGAACCGTTAGTGGATAGTGTCGCCAATCCTAGCTGAAAACAGTAAGACCCAAGGAACCTGAAAAGCAAAAGAAATTATCGAGATGCAGAAGCGTGGGTGAGAGAAAACGAAGTCCAAAGTCCGCCTATCCCCTGGGGCAGTGCGTGATCGCTTGGATAGGATCGACCACGTTTTGTCCACATCGGTGAGGTCTCAGGCGATCCTTCAAACGGTCTGCCTTCGATCCCTTCTTCGTTTGGCTGCTCAATCCCCCCCGTCTCTTGTATGAGAAAGGATGGGTCTTCACTATGACATAGCGCGAGTGCGAAAAGGGAGTAGCCTGGCGGTCAAAGGGGGGTCGGAGGCAGTGGTCTAGATTTCTGAGAAGCTTTCAATCGTGGGCAGAGCAAGCTGATTTGGGCGTTTCAGCCCTCAAAGCCCCTATCCGATGACGACTGCCGTTGAACATCCGCTATGACCAGTTTGGTTTGGTAGTGGACTTTAGACCCAAGACGCATACCGAATGACCGGTTATGGTGTTTCTCGGCTCATGTGCCCGATGTAGGCCATGCTGATGATCGTTCATGGGTTCCCCAGAATGTCCTTACTGTATCCAATGGTTCACGAACCGGACTTTGGGTCACACATTTCACCCTAGTGCTTACCCTGGCAATCATCGCTTCCAATTTCTAGGGATTGGGTGAATGTGACTAAATTCGTCTATCGGGTCAATGGGCTGATTCTCGGCAAACCCTAGATCGAGGATGTGCAGCTATCCGAACTTGCAGGGCAGAGTCTCATCTCGATCAGTGGCTGATCTTAACTAGACAGCCCAACCGTTCCTTGAAAGTAGCCTAGTTAGTCAGAGATACACTACTCCGAGGCACTATCCCACCGAAGATCTTTATCTGCCTGTGTCACTTACTGGCTTCTTTCCTACCATTTCGCTTCACACTCCGGACCCTTTTTCGGATTTTCCAATCTCATCGTTTCCCTCCTCGTCTGTGGCAGTCCAGCTTTTTTTGGATGCTTCCAAGGCATCTACTTATTCTTGTATCACATTCTCGGTTTCAGTCGTCAGCAACAGCGAGGCTTGGAATATAGCGGCCGTTGAAAGGTATATAGGGACAGGTTCCTCCTCGCCGTTTGGTCAGAACTCGTTAACGATTCCAAGCCAAACAAGCCTTCCCATCCACTCCAGTTCTCAATCTGCGTCTAAGAGTCTTCTCTCTCTATACTCAATCAGCTTCCATCACGCATATTCATCTGTCCAAACCCTCTCAAATCTATTCGCGAAAGCCATCCATTGAGTTCACGGAACCCCTCATCCAAACTTCATCATGTCAGGAAACGCTCATACCTCCAAGTAAGCATCCATTTCCCGGCCTCTTCAGACTTGCTATACTCACACACTTGCAGGTCCGCCAACGGCATGGGCAGCAGTCTCAGTGCAGGAAACCTGAGTCACATCCCCGATGGCAGCAGTGGCAGCATGAACCGCTTCTCGCAGTCATCCGCGGCGGAAGCACCTTACTATGCCCGAGCACGTATGGGTGAACGCTCTGATCATGTGTCACGCCTCTCGAGCCAGCTCGACGCGACAGAACAGATCTTGAAAAAATGAGCGAAACCCGAAAAAGAGAAAAAAAGAATAGAAAAGACAAAATGCAAACGCGAAAGAATAAAAGCGCTATGAGAGACGACCATTTTGCGAGTCGCTTTGAGGAGACTGGGAAGCAGGCGATATGCTGCCTGGGTTGCGGGGAAACGGGCAGGCGGAAGTGAAGGGGGAAATGGAGGACGACGAAGACCAAACGGTCAGTCTGGCCAGGCAGGCGCTATACCCAAACAGGAGCCACTTGCTCCAACGCTGGACCAGAAAGAGGAAGGAAACGTTTATATAGAGGTCCTATAGATACCAACTGGCGGCGGAAAACGCGCCGCCGTCTATCCTTGACAATGCAGATACCCAGTCTCCTATGTTCTAACCACTCATTCTATCCAAGTGATCGCATAAGTAGTTTCGAGATTAAGTGCGTCAACAAAACAGTAAGCCTTGTGTGACATCTAGATTATCGCCGAATAAAACCAAGAGGATGCTCTATATTGAACTGACAATGCGGGCCAACATGAAATCGATGGAAAGCACCAACCCAGTGGAAGAAGTCAAAACAAAAAGCCCCACACCAAGATGTCTATAAAGATAGTAAATCCAAAGAATGATCTGCGTCGTAGGGTAAACCCCTATTGCAGCGTCCTCAGTGCATGAATTCCATCACGTATTGGGCCACTTCTTCGTATTTGGTACTCGGGAATTCGTGGCCTGCATTGAAGAATCTAAAGCTTGCATGCCCTTGAAGTGCCGACGTTGCATCGGGAACAAGTTCATTCTTGACGATGACAGCATCATGGTCCCCGCACATGATGAGAACCTTATCACTCGGGAGGCCATTCATACGCTGCTCATCGACCGGGAGACTTTTTTGCGTCGATAGGTAACTTCCAAGGCGTTCCCAAGTCTCGCGCTGGCGCTGCTGCAGAATTGGTCCATGTCGCATACTGGACATGAACGCATGCACGAACCCGGCATGCTCTCCCACTTGCCATTGGACAGCACGGGGAACATTGACATGAGAGTACGTCCGAGACAGCTGCTGAACTTGTGCCGCACCCTGTGTTGGCAGCTCCTCAGCGAGTGCGTCCTCAGCGGTGAGCTTATGAGATTTCGGCTTTGGCGTAGTCAGCGGGCCTGCGCGCAGGCGGCGTCCAACAAGGAAGCCAAGCACACGTTCCGGAACAAGACCGCGGGAGTAGAGGAGACGTGACTGGAAGCTGATCTGGGAGTCGCGGATCAAGCCGGCGGGTGCAAGCAGTACCAGCGAAGAGAGAAATTGGGGGAAATATGATGCAAAAGAAGCAGCTATACCACCACCCAATGAGTAACCCACGAGGCAGAATCTACCGGAACCGGCTCCGGTCCACGAAAGTGCGGATGAGTTCAAAGCGAGCAGGATTTGGGTAGCGAACAGTCTGTTGTCCTGTGGGATGTCAGATGGGCAGTCAGAGTAGCCTCTACCGAACCTGTTCAAGCCTGTTAGTGTCTATTTTTCTTCAATGTAAGCGAGTCACATACAGGTCGAACAGCATGACCCGGCAGCCCCGGTCAACCAAGGCATGGGCTAAACCCCCAAGTGCAATACATGGAGTGGTTATCCCGTGAACTAGGAGAACCTTAGGTCCATCTTCTGGACCCCATTCATATACACGCATAGATCCATACGGCGTTGACACATCTCGGGCTCCCGGGAGTACGTCCGTGGGCAGCGGAAGCTCACGGTTCACTGAATCGGACACGGACAAGACCTTCTTGCGCGGGGACTCAAGCACTGTGCTCTCCAGCTGTGGGTCTGAAAGCAGTGATCGAAACAAGAGACCCAAAGTGAACGAGGCCCCTGTGACGGCGAGCAAGGGAAGTTGGCTTCGGCTGTTCCCCAACGAATCGGAGAAGGACTCGATAGTCTGGCTGTACCACGCCATGTTCTTATCGTCTATTGTGACTGTCTATTGTATGCTCTTTAGTCTACACAAGAATAAAGGAGAGAAGGGAATGTTGCAAGCCCGGTTATCCTGCCAGGCAAAACAGACGAACGAGGGGGAAGCGACCGGTGCGGTTAGGCGGTTGGCCTGAGGATACACCATCTCCATTTGGGCAAGTCATGCGATAAGCGATAAGCGGGTGATAAGGCACTGCCGAGGCTTATGGCTAGGCATCACAGGGAATACCATTGTTTTCCCTCCATGATCTACACTAATTGTTATCCAAATGCTCACCTTTGGTCTTCATCATCTGGATCTGCTTGACTGAGTACATACATATTACTATATGGGTAGTTGAACATGCGAGATCTGTCTGCCAGGGAATGTTCTGCCGCTGGTACTATTTCCTTAGTAAAACGGTACTAGTATATATTATATCACTGCTATGACACCAAGTCCTGCTTACACGAAACGTACAGAGCTGCAAGCATCATGATGGCAACCTGCTCACTGAATAGATATTGCAAGCGAGCTTTTCATTGATTAATCCTCCTAGTACAACTCATACAACAGCAACACAATCAAGAACGTCCATTAGAAAGTGATCACCGAAGTAATATCCGAAATCCGACATATACACCGAGGCTATTGTGTGCCTGCCGGAACGGGCACACGGAATCAATCCCCTTGTAGCTCGCGGAGACACTCTTGGACCGACATTAACAGGTCACCCCACTCACAAAGGCCTTGTCTGGACAGCAAGATGCTCTGATGTGGGTTGAACATCAATGCAGTCACTGCATGATCAATCAAAGCAAGGCCGTACAATATCAGAAGAGATATTCTTGGCATCTACGCCATGTATGTCGCGGAGAATCACTCCGCACCCTCTGAAAATCCATCCGGCTAAATTACAACTGTTGAATCGTTGTTGGCTTGCACGCCTCCGAACGTAATCGGGAAGCGATCTGCAAGGTACAGCGCCATATCGTGGCTTCCGTCGGCTTTGTCGGATGTCTGTGTGTGCTTTCTACAACGGTTCGACTTACAGGTGACACGGCTCAGAATTACCCTGCTTAGTTGCGGAGTCAGGCAAATGAAAGGATGATGGCGCTTGGGGAAACAACTTATGTTATGGAAAAATGGGGATTTGACATGGATATGTGTGGTGAAACAGCTATGTGTCGGAGATGCTAACCGCCTGGTTCAAGCCGGAAAGGCGGGCTCTAACGGAAGCAAAGACTATAATGTTTCTTGGTTTGACGTTGACAAGCCCATCTAGGCCACCTAGTTCCGGCTTGGATGAATCAAATTTCAGCCTAGCCATCTGCTTAAATCCGAATCATTTTGGCACGTACTCGAGCTGTCATTGATGGGATGTAGCACCCCGCATTCCGAGATCGACAAAGCTAGCAGAGGACCCTGGAAATTAATCAATCCTTCATCAGGATTTGAGATGAATCGGGTGATGGCTGATACCAAACAACGCCACATGCTGCCACATCTTCATTAAGTCAGCGTTTACATGGGACATCGTTGCTCTCATGTTTCCTAAAAGGGACTGCGAATGATATTTCTTAGACAACGCGGCTAACTGAATACAGGGATCACGATTCGAAGATATTCTAACTATCGGAAATGAAAAATAGCATTAGAGCGGACTGCACGATTGCAGTCACTTGCTACTATTCTTCATTAGAATTTGCCGGGTACAATACAGATACCTACTCGAGCTAGGATTCTAGAACCGAAGAAAAGGGCTCCAAAAACCTGTCTATTGCAAAACTTCATCAAGTTAGCAAGTAAGGCAATGTTTCTCTGCATGCACGGCCTTGGAAAGGCTACACATGACTCAAACAGTCTTCATTGGAAGGCTCCAGTGCTTATTACATGCAGGGAACAGAAACAATTCGGAGGGCCCTCCGTGAATCCTTGAGCTCGATGAACCAATAATACACAGCGGAAGCCAAGCAGCCTGATATACTCCATCCTAGTGATAGAACCTGGGCCCACTTTCGGACATCTCTCAACACGCAGAACCCTCTTTCTGCAACATGACACTCTATTATTGTGCGTTCTTCATTTCACGGCACAGAAGAGCTTGCCTAATTTGAAACATCGGCGGACTGGCGGTCCGTTATACCGGCAAAAATGGGTGACCCTATTCTTCCGGATTGCAAGATGATATGGAATTGAATGCTGGGTGGAAATGTTATAAATAGGGAGGTTATGCCGCTGTACAGCTTGGAAATTCATCTGCCGGACAGACAACGAAATCACTAAAAGGAGACGACTAGAGTCTTATACAATTTCATTACAATGCATCAACGTGCCCTTCTCTTCTCAGCCCTGCTGACGGCTGTTCGCGCCCAGCAAGCCGGAACGCTCACGGAGGAAGTCCATCCTTCCTTGACCTGGCAGAAATGCACTTCTGAAGGCAGCTGCACGGAACAGAGTGGCTCAGTTGTCATTGACTCGAACTGGCGCTGGACCCATTCTGTCAATGACAGCACCAATTGCTACACTGGCAACACCGTGAGTTTGATTGACCCCTATGTGCCGAACTGGCTAACGCACCTAACAGTGGGATGCAACTCTCTGCCCTGATGATGAGACCTGTGCGACCAACTGCGCCCTGGACGGAGCGGACTACGAGTCCACCTACGGTGTCACCACTGACGGTGATTCATTGACACTGAAATTCGTCACTGGCTCCAATGTTGGCTCGCGGTTGTATCTCATGGACACGAGTGACGAGGGATACCAGACGTTCAACTTGCTTGACGCAGAGTTCACTTTCGACGTTGATGTGTCTAACCTCCCATGTGGGCTAAACGGCGCGTTGTACTTCACTGCAATGGACGCCGATGGTGGAGCCTCGAAATACCCTGCCAATAAGGCTGGAGCCAAGTACGGAACAGGATACTGTGACTCCCAATGCCCCCGGGACCTGAAGTTCATCGACGGACAAGTATGTAGTCCTCCGAGATTCCCTCATCGCTAGCATGCTGACCTGAATCAGGCCAACGTCGATGGCTGGGAACCTTCTAGCAACAATGACAACACAGGTATCGGCAATCACGGTTCTTGCTGCCCTGAAATGGATATCTGGGAGGCAAACAAGATCTCGACCGCATTGACACCCCATCCCTGTGACAGCAGCGAACAGACCATGTGTGAGGGTAACGACTGCGGTGGAACCTACTCGGATGATCGCTACGGAGGTACGGATACCCAAATAGGTGGTCTAGGTTGATGTTTCGGCTAATTCCATCTACAGGAACCTGCGACCCTGACGGCTGCGACTTCAACCCTTATCGCATGGGCAACGACTCTTTCTACGGTCCTGGCAAGACCATCGACACCGGATCCAAGATGACGGTTGTGACCCAGTTCATCACTGATGGCTCTGGCTCCCTCAGCGAGATCAAGCGTTACTACGTGCAGAACGGAAATGTCATAGCGAACGCTGATTCCAACATCTCTGGAGTGACTGGAAACTCGATCACAACGGACTTCTGCACTGCGCAGAAGAAGGCCTTTGGCGACGACGATATATTCGCTGAGCACAATGGACTTGCTGGAATCAGTGATGCCATGTCTTCCATGGTTCTCATCTTGAGCTTGTGGGATGATTACTATGCCAGCATGGAGTGGCTCGACAGCGACTATCCCGAGAACGCTACCGCTACCGACCCAGGTGTTGCACGCGGAACATGCGACTCGGAATCAGGCGTCCCTGCGACAGTCGAGGGGGCGCATCCCGATTCTTCGGTGACCTTCTCAAACATCAAGTTCGGACCCATCAACTCGACCTTCAGCGCTTCCGCATAAGGTGAAGTGCAGGGTTCAGAGCCTCAATTACATCCCACAAGCCGAACACAACAGGACAGGTTCCTGGAACGGAATATGGGAGAGTTGCGGGCTTGTAAATAGTCCGAAAAGTGGTCACTGCTTTTGTGTATCGGGCTGTCTTCCCATTTTATTTTCATTCACTCCAGATTGATTGATGCAGATTTTGTTTGTTGATTCTTTCACTTCGTGCTGTGACTTTTTGTACCTAACTTCACATTCGCTTCTTTTCTGTTTTTGAGTCCACTCAATCCAAGAGACAGTTGTTCCTTTGCTACTCCTGACCTAGTCAGCCCTGCGTAGACAGCAAGCTCTTAGTAGCCTTAAGCCTAAACTTTATAGCCAACCAACCCCGGAAGATCCGTCGGCCCGCCCTCTCCGAGACTGATCGGCTCCGCCAGCCTGCAGCTGCAAGCTCCGCAAGTCAAAAAACTGCGGCATAGATTCGCCCTCGTGCAATTGCTCATTCTTCGCAATGTTCGACACTGTTTGCACCCTTCCGCTATCGGCGGACCTGTTCTCCCAGGCTCTGCATCCCAAGGAACCCGTCGTGTCCGTGGGTCTCTCCTCCGGGCATGTCCAGACATTCCGACTCCCCACCGACGAAGCGGCCAGCGACGACGACGAGACGTCAAATGCCTCGTCACGCAATGGCAGAGGACACATTGATACGATGTGGCGGACGAGACGCCACAAGGGTAGCTGCCGGTGCTTGACGTTTGGAATTGATGGCGAGACGCTCTATTCGGCCGGCACGGACGGGCTGATCAAGGCCGCAAAGGCGGAGACGGGAGTCGTGGAAAACAAGATCGCTATTCCTACGGAAAAGAATGGGTAGGAGATAAGCCCCTTTTATATGTGCTTGAAGGGAGGAGAGGACTCAATGGCTCATTGTATTCGCTTTTAGATCCATCGATGCTCCCACCATCATTCATGCGCTTTCCCCTCAGACCCTCCTTCTTGCGACCGATTCCAGCGCCCTCCACCTCTACGATCTCCGCATACCCTACTCCAAGGTTTCCGCGAAGCCTGAACAATCTCATCACCCTCACGACGATTATGTTTCGTCGCTTACGCCTCTTCCGGCCTCTGATACTAGCACCTCGGGGTTCAGCAAGCAATGGGTGACGACGGGTGGGACGACCCTGGCAGTTACGGATTTGCGACGGGGTGTGCTTGTTCGCAGCGAGGATCAGGAAGAGGAGTTGATCAGTTCGACGTACATTGGCGGATTGGCGGCCAGTGGCACGAGTCGCGGCGAGAAGGTGCTTGTGGGGGGTTCTGGCGGTGTCCTTACGCTTTGGGAGAAGGGCGCGTGGGATGACCAGGACGAGCGGATCTATGTGGAGCGTGGAGGAGGTGGTGGAGAGTCCCTGGAGACCATGGCTGTTCTGCCGGATGAATTGGGTAAGGGCAAGGTGGTCGCTGTTGGTCTGGGCAATGGTCGGGTCAAGTTTGTGCGGATCGGCGCTAACAAGGTTGCCGCGGAGGTTATGCATGATGAGACTGAGGGCGTGATTGGCCTGGGCTTTGACGTTGAGGGGCGCATGGTTACTGGTGGTGGACAGGTGGTGAAGGTTTGGCATGAGGCTGTTGTTGGCGCTGATAGGTACGGGGCGATGCCGGGGGAGAAGCGCATGTACGGAGACAGTGACGATAGCGATGAAGGTGACGACAGTGATGATGACTCGGATGATAGCGATGCCGGTGGCCGCCAGGACAAGCCGCAGAACAAGCGCAAGAAGACAAAAGCCAAGGGCAAGGGTGGGCAGCAAATTATGGCTTTCCATGACTTGGATTCAATGGAATCGAGTGTGGTTTATTGATACCCTAAGCGGGAGGTTGTTATGCATAGCATTGGTGTCGGGAAAATAAAAACAGGGAGTGTGCTTTGCAGATACGTACTCAATGATGCTAATATCTTATCTCTAGATAATTGAGCTTCAGCCATATTGTGACCCAGCTTAATCTAAATTTAGAATGCTTCGCATCGTAACTGCCAGAGCAGAATTAGTAGATCTCGCAATCTTGCTCCATTCCCTAGAAATCCAGGTACAAAGGACTGCGGAAGCGAACAGCCTTGTCGGCTACCAGTTCAAGACTAGCAACTTCATCTGTTCATAAATTAATTGCTATACTAGACTGTCTTGGCAGCAGGGAAAAGCAACATTAGAAATGATAATAAGCGCCAACTAGCAGATAACCCATCTCACTTAAGACAAGCTATCTCCCCATACTCTTCCATCGTCATCATCATCATACATCCCTCCACCGCAATGCCAGGGACCATCCTCCTCACCGGAGCCAACAGCTCCCTCGCCATTCCAGCAGTCCACCACTTCCTCACCAAATACCCAGACTACACTCTCGTCCTCACCGTTCGCAACCCCTCCACTTCCGACCCCAACACCAAGCGTCTCAACGACACCATCACGCCCTTCTCCAGTCCAAGTACCTCAATCCGAAAACTAGACCTCTCCAACCTCTCCGAAGTATCGACCTTCGCGCAGACCCTAGCAACTGAAATATCCAATGGCACACTTCCTCCATTAGCAAGCATCATCTGCAATGCATACTACTGGAACCTCGCCAGCGAAGTCGAAACAACCCCCGACGAACTGGACAAGACCTTCCAGGTAAACCATATCGCTCACGCCTCGTTAGTGCTACGTCTGCTAGGCTCATTTGGGCCTGATTCTGGCCGGGTTGTTCTCTTCGGCAGTGATGCCCATTGGCCCGGTAAGAATGGGTTGGAGAAGTATCCGCCTACCATTCCAGAGGATCTGGAGGTGCTGGTGAAACCGACTAAGAAGGCGGGTGAGGATGTTAGGGGGAAGGGGTTCTATCAGTATGCAGTGTCGAAGCTGGCGATTATTATGTGGATGTATGCGTTGAATGGGCAGTTGATCAAGGTATAATACCTTCCCCACTTTGCTTTGCTTTGAGTAAGTAGTAGACTTTGGTGGTTGTACTGACATTGGGATTAACTTCAGGACGACAGCCTAAAGCACATCAAGGCTGTAGCTATCAATCCAGGCAACCTGAGTGATTCTCGCGCTCTCCGCACCAACACGCCGCTGATTCTTAGGATCATCTCCCGCCTCATTATCCAGCCGCTCCGGCCGCTGCTGAGACTGCTTGACCCGACTATGCGCACGGCTACGGAGGCCGGGGAGGATGTGGTCGAGCTGGCTGTGGGTGAGAAACATGCGGGGGAGGCGGGGTACTTTACCCTTTTGAAGAAGGATGAGAGTTCGCCTGAGAGTCAGGATGGAGAGAAGCAGGGGAAGATCTGGAAGAAGACGTTGGAGTGGGCGCAGGTTAGCCCTAAGGATACGGTGTTGAAGCTTGAGTAGAGGGCATTTACTTACCGGTGCAAGACAACTATAACACTGTGCTATAACTATTACTATAATTCCTTAATCAAGAACTTTTTCTCAAAGAATTAAACACCGAATATATTTAACACTGAGGTAAATTCGCGTTCCAATGCAAGCAGTATAGTATCGGCATGAACAACAGCCAACTGCCGAGCCCCTCCGCGGGCGACCCACGGCAAAGGCCTTTGCCCCAATAACTTCATGACGTTCCCTCCGGATCGGTGGGGTGTGGGGGATTATTCATGATGATCAAGCTTCGTCGGCTGTTCGGGTTCCTAGTATTCCAATTCATGGGTCGATCTAGGCAAAGATATATACCGATCCTAATTCTCATATGAGTCTCCCTCCCCGCTATCCTCATTCGCCTTCCCCTCATCTACAACCCCATACACTACTCCAACCACAGCCACCACCATGGACTCCTTCGAATACAACGCCAACCCCGGCCGAGTCATCTTCGGCAGCGGCACATTGAAGAAGCTCCCCGATGAGCTCGCCCGCCAGAACCTCAAAGCACCTCTCCTCCTCTCGACCCCGCAGCAAGTCTCCCAAGCCGAGAATGTCAAAACCGTCCTGAACGGCCAAGTGGCCGGCATCTTCACCGAAGCTACCATGCACACTCCCACTCACATCACCGACAAGGCATTGGAATACGCAAAAGCCCAAAGTGCCGACTGCGTCGTCTCCATCGGCGGTGGTAGCACCATCGGCCTAGGAAAGGCCATCAGCATCCGCACCGGCCTGCCGCACATCTGTATCCCGACCACCTATGCGGGCAGTGAGATGACCCCCATTCTGGGTGAAACGGCAGACGGATTGAAGAAGACGCGCTCCGACCCGAAGATCCTCCCGGGGACTGTGATCTACGATGTGGACCTGACTATGACCTTGCCGGTGGCCATGAGTGCGACGAGCGGTGTCAATGCCATCGCGCATGCGGGTTAGTCCTACCCACTACATTCTTTCTCTCTACATTCCATACTAGAAACAAAGCTAATACCGTGAACCAACAGTGGAAGCTCTCTACGCGCGCAACACCAACCCCGTGATCAACCTAATGGCCCTGGAAGGCACACGCGCCCTCGCCTCCTCCCTCCCCGAAATTGTCCAGAACCCCAGCTCCCCCTCCGCGCGCTCCTCCGCCCAATACGGTGCCTGGCTCTGCGGTACCTGTCTCGGCAGCGTAGGCATGTCCATCCACCACAAGCTCTGCCACACCCTCGGCGGAAGCTTCAACCTGCCCCATGCAGAGACGCACACGGCGGTGCTCCCGCACGCTATCTCCTACAATGCGCCGAAGATCCCCGAGGCCATGAAGAAGTTGGCCGAGGCGCTGCCGGAGAGTAACGGGGATGCGATCCACGGGCTGAATGTCCTGTTGGAGAAGTTGCAGGTTAAGCGTGGATTGAAGGACTTTGGTATGAAGGAGGAGGATATTGATAAGGCGGCGGATATTGCGGTTAGTAACCCGTACTGGAACCCTAGGGAGATCCAGCGTGAGCCGATCCGGGAATTGATTCGAAGGGTGTGGGCTGGGGAGCCGGCGAGGGCGGATTTGTAGATTAGGTTTTTGGGGAGGGGTGTTGTATGTAAATAGTAGGTGTGTAGAGTTTACATCTCTATCTAGATGTGGAATACGTATACATTTTTTATATACACTTTTCTATTAATTAACAAACCTATATTTCTACATTGTAATATGGCACCATAACCAACCTCAGTAATCCATCCCACCGCGATTGGCCCTCGCTCTTTTCCGCGAGCGAGCGAGCGAGTGGATGGCGGGGTGAAAGTGGGGGGATAGTGCCCGCCAGATGAAAATCAACCCGAAATTTGCAACCATCCCACTTTTCCACCCCTCAAGTGAGGTCCAAACTTCACTACTACACCACAAATCTACACATTCAATCCATTATACTTCCCCCCACCATGGGCGCCGATATGGAGGCCGCCCCGGTCCTCTCCACCCCGGACGACCGCATCCTCGAAGCCACCGACCCCGTCCCGAACCGCAGTCCCGTCTCCGACGAAGAAATCGCCATCACCTATGACATTGAACGCACGCTCAAGGAGATCCGCCAGGCGCGGTATAAGCGCATTGCGCTGCAGTTTCCGGATGATATGCTCCCGGATGCGCCGAGGGTGTTCCAGCTTCTTAGTCGGGGATTGGATACTACGCGAGAGGGTGCCCGTGGCCAGAGTGCGGGGACGGAAGAAGGTGCAGGAGAAGGGGAGAAGAAGGATCTGGCAGAGTCGGTGGCTCAGTTGAAGGTGGACGAGGCTGAGCCTGCGCCCAGGTTGTATATCCTGGCAGATACTTCCTACGGAACTTGTTGCGTGGATGAGGTGGCGGCTGAGCATGTGGATGCCGATGTGGTCGTGCATTACGGCCGGTCGTGTTTGTCGCCGACGGCCAGACTCCCTGTGATTTATGTGTTTACGCATAAGGAGTTGGCGCTGGAGAAGGTCGTGCGTGCGTTCAAGGAGACGTATCCGGAGCTGGATACGAAGGTTATTCTGGCGGCTGATGTGACTTACTGTGATCATGTCCCCGCAGTGTATGAGGCTCTGGTGAAGGAGGGGTATACGAATCTGTTTGCGACGGAGGTGCTTCATGACCCTTCGTCTGCTATTCCGAACCGGACGGTGCCGGAGACGGTGCGCGAGAGTCCCGAGTCTCTGGCTGAGTGGCAGCTTTTTCACATCTCTGATCCGCCTACTGCGCTGCTTCTCACCCTTGCTTCTCGCGTGGCGGCTATCTACATCTATCCTACGGATAAGCCGGGCCAGGATGTTAAGCCCCTGCCCGCGTCCACGGCCGCCGCCTTGCGCCGTCGCTATGCTATCCTGACGTCCTTGAATACCGCCCCGATCTTTGGTATCCTGGTCAACACGTTGAGTGTGAAGAATTACCTGCATATTGTGGATCATGTTCGGGAACGGATCGCGGCGGCCGGGAAGAAGAGTTATTTGTTTGTGGTGGGCAAGCTGAACGCGGCTAAGGTGGCTAACTTCAGCGAGATCGGCGGCTGGGTGGTCATCGGATGCTGGGAAAGCTCCCTCGTTGATAGTCGGGATTTCTGGAAACCGGTTATCACGCCGTTTGAGTTGGAGCTTACCCTGAAGGGGGATACGGAGCGGGTCTGGACGGGAGCCTGGCAGAGTGATTTCCAGACTGTCCTGGATCAGTCCGCTGCTGAGGCAGAGAATGGAGATGCGTCGACGAACGGTGCTGTGCCCGGGGAGGATGAGGATGAGATGTCCGAGCCCGAGTCGGCTCCGCCAGAATTCGACTTGCGCACTGGCCGGTATGTCTCGCATTCCCGGCCCATGCGAAACCCTGCACCCCGCGTTTCTGCCTCAGGAGAAGAGGGTGCTGCCTCGTCAGCATCAGCTGGAGGTCCATCGGCAGCGCGAGCCCTGGCCAGACGAGCCAAAGGGGATCTCGCGATGATCGGCGGGACCATCTCCCCTGGAGCGGAATTCCTTCGGTCGCAACGGACGTGGAAGGGGCTGGGCAGTGATTTCGATATCCAGTACGAGGAAGAGGAGGACGCGAAGGATAGCACACTGGTGGTGGAAGGGCGCAAGGGTATTGCAAGGGGATATACGGTAGGAGAAACAATAGAGCGACACTAGTTCAGGCCGCCCTCGCTCCCATGGCGTTCGGAGAATCGGATTGTTGGGCGCGACCGTTGAACAGGGTGGAAGTATGGGAACGAGTAGGGGGTGGACAAGGCAAAGCCTAGTCAGGTGGAACTAGTGGTTTGCTATTTTCTATGCAATGATGGATCGTTTTTGTGCCCTACTGATGCTGGTACGGCCCAAAGCGGATGCCGAGTTTAGTGGTTGTGGTTTGTGGTGGTTTGGATCGTCGGGGGGGAGAACAACACCACGCAGCTAGCAGCAGATAGTGGAAAGAAATCAAGAGGGATGAATTCAATATTCAATAAACACACCGGGGCGAATCACTAGTGAAAGTTGAGACCCGTCAGGCCACACACTCCGGTGACCCAACGTATATCGTCATAGGATTAAGTCTAATCTCATCATCAACATCATCAGCAGCAAGCAACAACACAAAAGAGTGGCATCCCAACGGGGCCAAGGCGACCTATCACATGATTGCCGGCCTCCCGCTGGATTTTTGTTGCCCATCGCCAATTCTGAGCTGAGTTGTCCAAGCCACCCCCAATCGGTTTGCTGTAACTTGTTTCTCCCTCCTCTTCCCTCCGACTCTCCCTCCATTCTACTCCTCTCCCTCCCGTGGATGGCCACAGCTCATGTCCAACATTTGGGTGTAATCCGCCCTCCTTGCGCATGCTCTCCTTCCTGGTTCCCTTATGATGTGCCGCCCTCTCCCGCATTCTCCGCTGTGCTCGCGATCTCGCGTCACTCTAACCTCCAGCTTCCTTCCAGGGGAGTAAAATCAAAAGGGGAAAGAAAAAGGCTGTTGAAGAAGCAAAGGGTTCCGCCATCCGGTTCGGATCGTCATGCCATCCGTATCTCATACTCCGGGAGTGCCCGCTATCGATCATCGATCGGGCCCTGAGTCGACTACTACTACTACTACTACTATTACTGCAGCCATGGCTGGCAAGCCCAGCGGAGACCAACAACAGCAAGACCTGGTGGACTCCGCGCTCGAACACTCCGTCCTTCCGGCCCAACATCCGCTATCCACCTTCGAACTCGTTGTCACTACCAATGCCCCCATCCTCGAATCTCTCCTCTTGCAGACTCCCACCGAGGCCATCCTGAGCCTCTACCATACCTCCCGCTACCTCCGATCATTCCTCCGCTCTTATCCGACAGCATGGAAATACCTCTCTTTTCGGCTGCTCTACCCATCTGGCACCCCGCCGCCCCTCCGGGTTGTCTTCACCGGCTCCTCCGAGACCGTCATCCCGCGCCAGTCCCGCCCGTATGCACTCGACCAGCTGTTGATGAACGTGGTGATTCCGTTTAGTCCGTGCTTGCGCAGTCTAGAGCTGGATAACACAGCTGTGTCGGGGCAGATTCTGATGTCGACGGTATTACATTCGCGACGCGAGACCTTGGAACATCTCTCCGTACGAGGCTGCAAGAACGTGTCGCTCAAGTACCACATCATCCCGTATCTCACGATGTTTGGCCTCCAGTATGATGTCAATATGGAGCAGAACATCGGAAGTTCGCCGGATACGAAGCATCTTGCACTGAAGAGTCTCTACACGTATCGATGTCGACATCATCGACGACGGCCGTATCTGACTTCCTCCTTGTCGCGAAAAGACTCCGACTCCGAACCCACACATGAACTGGTCAATCTCTGCCATAAGCTGGGCATCTGGACGGATACCGCATGGTGCTCGACTCCTGCGGGGAGATGTTTCCGGAGGCGGGGCTACGTGTCTATGCGTGTTCCCCAGGGGTCGGCGGAGGTGTGGGTGGTGTTTGATCGGCTGTGGAGGTCGAAGAATTGGATTGGTCCGGTAGACCAGGCGAACCGTCCAGCCCAGCGGGATGCGAAGCTGTGGGAACACAGTGAGACCGGCTATTACGGCGAGGCTTTGGGGACTGGAGAGGGTGGAGACCATGGAGAGGGGAAGATGCTACCGGCACATTTGCGACGGAGCCATACACAGTTCGTGGAGAATATCCGCTGCGACAACTGCTGCGAGTTGATTCCTGAACGATGCGAGCAATGCAGTATATTGATGCACTGTGTTGGATGTCGAAAGACTCTATGTGCTAGCTGTGCTTATGAACGGCCTTATCTGCACTGCCGGCCTCGATCGGCTTCCAAGGACAGTCCATACTGGTGGGCTCCTGGAGCTACCATGTCGCCATGTTCTATGCAAGACCCTGTCGAAGATTCCGAAAACACTACTGGAGCCAACAACGCAACTCCCTCCTATCCCGCTCTTACGTTCCATTGGTGCTGCACTGAGCCAATCTTTTCTGGCGGCGGCGGCATCAGTATTGGCACACCGAACCGCGATGTGGACCAGGTACGAGCCGTGCCTCTGCCTCGAGGACAAGGATGGGAGGACTTGGAGTACTCGGCACAGGAATGGAGCAAAACGTTCCCGCGGGACGCCTACGGAGACCCTCGCAAGCCCGACTACACGCTGGAAACCGGACATATCGCCATGATGCGGTGGCTACTTGGCCCACCCGACCGACAGCCTGCAGCTTGCCCGCGCAATCTATGTCAGGACTGCTACGACACACCTCAGTGGAAGGTCCACTGCAAGAGCTGCTCGAAGCCGCTGTGTATCGAGCATGATCTACGGGGACTCCGCTTGAGAATTTGTGGGTACCGGGATCTGACGCTGGAAAAGCTGGCGATCCAGAACCACGCCGAGACCGGCTCTCGCGGGTTTGCATCGCGGGTGCACTACACGAATTCCGTGCCAGAGTTCGAGCTGCCGTATCGGACGCAGCGGATCCTTGATTCAACTACGAGCAGTTTTACCGAGGACAACCAAGAGGTCTTTCCCGAGGCGAGCAGTAGCGCGTTCGATCATCCTCGACCCACGCCTTTGGTTCACCGCCGCTCGCGAAGCCTCTCCATCTCCAATTCCAACCGTTCACGCTCATCCTCGCCATCCTCGGTCTACTGCGACTCGCCGTCCGACCAGCCCAGATGGCAAGGATGTCAGTCCTTTTTCTGTCCGCAGTACCGAGCGGTCGGTGACCAGCGACAGCGGTGCGCCAGCGTTCTCCGCGAGTGCACCAGTTGCTCGGTGTACGTATGCGAGGACTGCACCATCGCCTTCCCGCCGTGCAACTGCTCCTATTGCGAAGTCAACTACCTGTGCCCGAACTGCCTGAAGATGCGGGAGCGAGACGGGACCTGCCGCCGGCCGGCAGAAGAAAAGGCCCGTCGGGAACGCAAATGGAAAGAGGACATGCGCCTGCTGGAGGGGATTGTGCAGGACAAGCTGGCGAACAAAATGGCAAACAAGATGGCCGAGTATGCCGGCGAGTTCTTCGACGTCATCGAGCGGGAGGAATCCGGCGAGGTGCAGTATATCGAAGAAGCCTCGACGTATCCTGGACCGGTGGCAGAGGATCTAGGCGAGGAGATATTAACGGACAGTACGGAATGAGATAAAATATGGCTGGCAGGGATCTACGGGCGTCGAGGATGGGTGGACTGATGATTATTTTCGGAGTTATTCTACATCTGGGCCTGCAGATATTAAGCAGCGTGCATAGCAAATGTTACTGTTCGGGTTGCCCTGATGCGCCGGGCGCTGGGGGTTATCCTGTTGTCCCGGGAGGACAGAAGAGAACCTGTGGGTCATTGATGGAGGAAAATGTATGTAATAAAATAATGACATACGATATCCTACCATTACCTCAACTATACTGTTTATTGTAGTTGCGTAGTGTCTATCGACTACACCGTAAACGCAGTAGAAAGTTGCCCCGCACGCGGAAGCTTCCAGCCATCCAGCCAGTCCCCACCATATCTGTAATTCCCTCCAATTCTCCCAAACAATCTCCATCCCCTCACGCTCTACAATCCCTCACAACCAAGTATGTCCCCAACTTTCCCCCCAGTTAACCCATATCACCACTAACACACCCTCAACAGCAAAATGGCCGACGAACAACCCCCCACCCCCGCCGAGCTCGCCCGCCGCGAGGAAGAAGAATCCGCCCGCAAAGCCCGCGAAGCCGCCGAACAAGCCCAACTGCCCTACAAATGGACCCAAACGATCCGCGACGTGGAGGTGACAATCCCGGTGGCATCGAATATCCGCGGTCGGGATCTAGATGTTGTGCTCACGAAGACGAAAATTCGCGTTGCGATCAAGGGGCAGGAGGCTTTTATTGACGTACATTACCCCACTCTACAACTCTCTTACGACAATACTAACAATAGTAATGGGGAATTTTTAGGGCGAGTTCCCTCATCCAGTAATCCCCGACGAATGCTCCTGGACCCTTGAATCAACATCGAAGCCGCCCGGCAAGGAAATCTCGATCCACTTGGACAAGGTGAACAAGGTGGAGTGGTGGGCGCATGTTGTTACGAGTGCGCCGAAGATCGATGTTACGAAGATTACGCCGGAGAACTCGTCGCTGAGTGAGTTGGATGGCGAGACGAGAGCAATGGTCGAGAAGATGATGTATGATCAGAGGCAGAAGGAGATGGGTGGGTTGACGAGTGATGAGCAGAAGAAGAGGGATATTTTGAAGAAGTTTCAGGAGGAACATCCTGGTTAGTATTCTTCCCTTTCTTTTTTTTTTTTTTTTTTTTTTTTTGCCACTATAGGTGGAAGGTGAGGTGAGGCTAATGTGGTGTGTCTGTGCAGAGATGGATTTCTCGAATGCGAAGATCGGTTAGGTATATAAGTAGTGGTATATGAATTATGATGGTGTTTAAAGTGTACATTTTATGTTATGTTATGGTGGTGGAATATAGCTGGCTTCCGCATTAGGATTAGTCTGGTCAGGCACTCCCGTGAGGCTGCTCTCATCGTCATAAGTCATGAGTTTGTCTGTCTTACTGTCTTGTTCTCTTCATTCATCGTGATTGCATGGTTGCAAGCTATGCACCTTCATGGAACGTAGCAAGGACTAGCAATACTTGGTGGCTGCCATGCAGTCTGTCCTCCAGCTTCGCCCTTCTCCTCGTACTTTTCATCCCCGACGCCCGCATCGCAAATCCCGTGCTGGCTGCCTCGTTTGCAAGCAACGACGAGTCAAGGTATTCCCTCTTTACTCTTCTACTCAATATCCTCTCTGATCGCCTTCTTCCTTAACGACAGTGCGACGAGGAGAAACCATCCTGTCACCGATGCCAAAAACTCGGGTTCGACTGCAGCTATGAGCCCGAGACCAAAGACAGCGTCAGCGTCTTCCTTGCGAGCCCGCCTGATTCAAAGGCGTACTGCATGTCGGTGGACACCGTGACCAAGAAGATCAACGAGATCCTGCAGTTGGATTCAAAAAGCGGCCCATTGCCTGTAGTGCAGGCATTGCAGCACTTCCACCATGGCCTAACGAACCCGGCGCTCGGGCCGGGACGCGCTCAATCCGCTATGCAGGCAAAAATCATCCAGCTAGGGTTTAATGTATGCTCTTGACTTCATCTTACTAAGGAGGACTGCTGCTGACAATAAAGTCACCTTTCCTTCTGCATACCATCATTGCAGCAGCAACTTCGCATATCCGCCACATGGCTTCGGATGGTCGCGTCTATACCCTGACGGAAACTTACCACTGGCAGCAGGCTATCACCCAGTATTCTCAGGAAATTACCACCATCGGCCCGAAGAACACGGATAGTCTCATTTCTGCGTGCTTGCTATTGACTATTCGCTCCTTTGCTCTAGATGAATACGACCCGCTCAGCTCGTTTGTCTTCTCAGACGATATGACCTCCCTGAGCTGGCTGACACTACAAGGGGGCTTGCGCCATCTGATCATGGCGACGGTGCAGTGGAAAGCTGGCAGTATGTGGTGGGAGGTATTCATGAAGTCTCATGCTGAGACGGCGGATTTCTTCGAGGATGATCGTCCTGGCCGGGTGGCTATTCATCCAGGGCTAGCAGATCTATGTGGTATCGATGACGCGACCACCGCAAAGACGAGCCCGTATCATGCGCCAGCACGAATACTGACAGGATTGCTGTCGCTGGAGCGAGGAGTCCGGAGACTTTGCACCGTACACGGGATTCATGGGGAGACTGCTACCTGAGTTCTTTGCTAAGTTGATGCAGAAAGATCCACCGGCATTGATACTGCTGAGTTGGTGGTTGGGCTTGATGTATGGGACGGAGATGTATTGGGTCGAGACGCGAGCGAGATCAGAAATTACGGCGATAACGTGGTATTTGGGGGAGGGATGGGACGAGTTTATGAGGTTTCCAAGGGAGTGTATAGAGGACTACGAGAATGCTTGCATACCAGAATGAACTGGAATGATGCTATCTTATCCGCTTATCGATAAAGTTCAGGCCAGGAGCGGGGAACTCCACCAATCAGCGATGCGGGGAACGTAGATGCCTGGATGCTGAGGCGCAGCCTCGTCGTGACTTTTGACTTTCGTTCCTTCGTTCATTCTCGTAGACATCACCTTTCAATCAGGGACACGTAGTCTCTGCATCGCATTGACGTGACTCTGGTGTCTCAATCAACCTTCTTCCACTTTGGCCCTCCACCATCACCGTCGACACCCGTCTCACAACGGGTGGACTCCGAGTCAGGAACATCTACAGCAGACTCACCACCTCACTCCAACAACTACACACGAACATCTCCTCCACAACTGTACCA